ATAGTAGAGCAGAACTAGTAGCAGTTAGTAGCAGTATAGTAGTAGTGACAATAGTAGTAGTAGTAGTAGTAGAGTAGTAGTAGTAGTATCTAGTGATAGCAGAGTATAGCAGTAGTCGTGTAGTAGTAGCAGAAGTCTACAGCGTAGGAGATAAGTTAGTAAGCAGAGTGTAACAGTAGTCGTATAGTAGTAGTAGCCAGAAGTAGAGCAGTAGTCGTATTTAGTAGTATGAGCAGTAGCTGGCATAGCAGCAGTGTAGTAGTATGTGGTCGTAGTAGTAGTATGTAGTCAGTAGTATAGCATTAGTAGTAAGTCGGTAGCAGTGTTAGTATAGAGCCAGCAGTAGTATTCAGTAGTAGTATAGCATAGTATAGTAGCAGCAGTAGTAGTAGCAGTCTAGTATACTAGTAGTACGAGTCGTAGTACTAATAGTAGTAGTACCGTAAGTAGCAGTAGTAGTAGTAGGAGTATAGTAGCTGTAGTATGCAGTAGTATAGTACGTAGTAGTGCATTAGTAGTAGTAGTAGTATTAGTATTAGTAGTATAGTATTAGTAGTAGTAGTAGTTAGTATACAGACACTATAGCAGTAGTAGCATAGTAGTAATAGTAACCAGTAGCAGTAAGTAGTATTAACTAGTTAGTAGAAGCATTAAATGTAGTAGTATTAGTAGTAGTAGTAGTAGTAGCAGTAGTAGTATAGTAGCAGAACTTTAGCAGTAGTAGCAGTAGTAGTATTAGTAGCAGAGTAAGAAGTCGAGTAGTATAGTAGTAAGTAGTATGGTCGAAGTATAGCCGTAGTAGTAGTAGTAGTAGCAACGGTAGTAGATAGTAGTAGTATTAGTAGATAGTAGTAAGCATTAGTAGTAATCGTACTTAGCAGTAGTTAGTTATAGACAAAGTAGTACAGTATAGCGTAGTATAGTAGTATCTTAGTATAGTAGTAGGCATTAGTAAGTAGTAAGTATACAGAAGTAGTAGCAGTAGTAGCATAGCGTAGTAAGTCGTAGTAGTTAGTAGTAGTAGTAGAAGTAAGTATTAGGAGTAGTAGTAGTAGCAGTAGTATATAGTAGTAGTACGCCGAACTGTAGCATCGTAGCAGTAGTGTTTTTCGTAGTAGCTAGTAGTAGTAGTGTGTATAGTAGTAGTAGTATATAGTAGTAGTAGTAGTAGTAGTAGCAAAGTAGTACAGTAGAGTAGTATTTAGCAGCAGTAGTAGCAGTGTAGTAGTAATAGTAGCGAAGTAGTAGCAGTATAGTGTAGTGTATAGCGACAGTAGTAGCAGATAGTAGTAGTAAGTAGTACATATTATAAAACATAATATAACTAAAATCAAATAAATCTGCCATTCACTACAACTGTAAGTCGACTCTGGATAGGAGCGTCTTGCTAAATGACGACTAGAAATGTAAATGTTAACTGTGTTATAGCAAGTCACAGTATAGGAAGTAAGTACAGTACTATACAGTAATAACTAGTAATGCCGTGGGTAATAGAATACATTACCAGAGGTAGACTTTGTGTGGGGTCCCCCCCCATTGGTAAATGATGTGGGTGCGCCCTCTGGGAGGAGTATGGAACAATGAGCCAGTGAACTGAATAACTGATGGGAGAAGTAAAGAAATACTTTTTTACCCAATATAGTGGTTGGCAGAGAACTATCATGGAGGATGAAGTACTAGACCTTGTCTTAATGATTTCATTCATGAGGAACCTGACTAAGCCTGTTAAATAAAGCCCTCGTTATTTGGAGAAGTGGTGGTCACCAAGCCTTCTTCACTGTCAACCTTTATCTGTTTTTTAAACACTTTTGTGTGTTGTGTGCTTCACTCAATTAACATATGTAAATTCTGTCATACAGACCTGACCCTATCAATGCCTTTCTTTATCTGAAAACGAGTTAACATGAGAACTAGTGAGTTAGTGTGTTTACATGGCATTGAAGAACTATACTGTGGATTCTTACTCTCCATTACTTTTCATTCCTATTAATCAGTGTCTACCCATGGTCCAATGCCATGTCTCAACTCCCACCGTTTCTTGGTGGCCCGTTGCAGGGTCGGCTGAGTGGCTTGAGTGTAGTGGCACTAGGAGTACTTCACTCATTGTGGGGTGGGCTGAGACTGAGGCTGAGGCTGGTCCGTGTGTGGCTGTAACTCCTCCACTCTTTCCTCTCCTGAGGATCATGACTCCACCCGATCCCCTGGGGACTGCCAGGGGAGAGGATACATCTGTTAGCCAGTAGTGGGGTTCCTGTCGCACCCAAGGAAGATTGAGCGTGAATGCTTTGAATGTACCTGTTGCAGCGTAAACAAATGACTTTACTGCTCTGTAGAGATGGGTTACGAGTGCATGGGGTTTAGCTGTTGACTGAGCTCATGTGTGAGGTTTGTCTCTGCCATTTATCCCTGCATTACGAAAATTTAACAAATAGACAGCACATCTATAGAACTCTCTATGTACTAATGCAAAATGAGTGTGGTCCCTCCAGAAATATGCATGTCCTCAATAAGATAGACCTTCACTATGTCAAATCAATTGGTTTCGTCTGTTCAACTGTTATCCTTACAATAGAGCCTTTTCACCAGGCTCAAGGCTATCAAAGCCTTTCAACAGTTGAAATCCAGAACAATAGAGGCCATGCAACTTAACAACATCTGTGTAGGTGTCTCAACCCCCAGTTGCGGTTTGGTCTCGATAGTCAATTCCTAAACTATAGACGGCCAGGAGAGTGGAAAAGAAAGGGTTCTTCTTTCTGACGTGGCTTCAGCCTTTGTTATGCAAGCCTGGATGTTTTAGTGTGTAGTTGTTCTTTCTGCGAACTGGTACTGAAGCCTCTAAAAAAAAAGCGCAGAGGCCTTTTTGGTAACACCTGTCTTCCTCTCTGCTTCCTGCTCATCAGACGATGTGCAAATGTAAACAATTGCGGCGGTGTATTTCTGCTCGGCTAAGGCTTCAGAGTCAGACAACAATGAGTTCGGGGCTCACCCTCTATGTAAGCAGTGATTGTTCTAGGGAGGGGTAGACCTACACACTTCTCAAGATCACAGGTTTGGTTTTATTACGCGTGCAAGGTTAACTTGACCCGAGTGCTTTCATTACCTTTGACCATGAATCTGACTCAACTGCCCAGTAGTCAGTAGAAGTAATCACTTCACTATGGTAGCAGTACGTCAGAACAGTAGGGGCATTTCTGACAGCATCTTATCACTCATACATGGGCTTGACATTGGAAAAAAACAACAATGAAATGACACACCGGTGCCTTTCTTAGCTCCCTCCGGTCTGATTCTGTAGACTTTGTAGGAATCGGATATGTTCCAGTTTGGCTTCGCTTCCACCAGCTCATCAAAGTCATTATTTGTTCGAGCACATCGCATTCTGGTCTTATCCATGTGGGGGGCTCTGGTTGGTCCACTCCTTCCCTGTGTTTCCTTTGAACATGCCGCCTGCATTAATCAACAACATAATAAGTTGCAGAGTTAACATTTCTCTCTACATTATTTCCATTAATCTGCCCGATAGTAGGCCTTGTGGGCCTGCTCAAATTAACATGTCGTGGCTTTGCCTTGAACAAATATCCATTCCCTGAACAGATCATCCTTGTGATACCCAATACGGAATCAACGAGGTAGTCTATAGCAAATACTTAAATTACACCTGACCAAGTAGACTATTCTGGAGATAAATAAGTTATAATATGATTGAGTTAGCTATACTTTAATGGCTCTCCTGCACATATATTCAATATTCCCGAGTTGTGAATATCTTCAAGAAAAAAGTAGTAGTGGGGTAGTGAGTAGCAATAGAAAGGGAGGTAGTAGTAGTAAGAGAGGTAGAGAGTAGTAGTATAGTAGAGTTATGGGTAGTAGTGTGGGAGGTAGTAGAGAGTAGTAGGGGAAAAAGAGTAGTGTAGTAGTATAGTGGGTAGTAGTTAGTAGCAATAGTGAGTATTTGCAGAGTAGTGAGTAGCATAGTAGTAGTAGAGTGTAGTAGTAGTAGTAGAGTAGTAGTAGTAGTAGTAGTAGTAGTAGTAGAGTAGTAGTAGTAGTAGTAGATTTGTAGTAGTAGCAGTAGTAGTAGTAGAGTAGCAGAACTAGTAGCAGTAGTAGCAGTAGTAGTAGTAGTACAGTAGTAGTATAGTAGTATAGTATAAGTAGTAGTAGTAGTAGTAGTAGTAGTAGTAGTAGTAGTAGTAGTAGTAGTAGTAGTAGTAGTAGCAGAAGTAGTAGCAGTAGTAGTAGTAGTAGTAGCAGAAGTAGTAGCAGTAGTAGTAGTAGTAGTAGTAGCAGAAGTAGTAGCAGTAGTAGTAGTAGTAGTAGTAGCAGTAGTAGTAAAAAAATAAATAATAATAATAATAAAATAAAATAAATATGCATTCACTAACTAACTGTAAGTCGCTCTGGATAAGAGCGTCTGCTAAATGACGACTAAAATGTAAATGTAAATGTAGTAGTAGCAGTCACAGTCATAGTAGTAGTAGCAGTAGCAGTAGCAGTAACTAACTAAGTAATGCCGTGGTAATAGAATAGCATGTACCAGAAAGGGTAGACATGTTGTGGTCCATTGTAAATGATGTGGGGTGAGCCTCTGAGGAGGAGTAGGAACAGAAGGAGCCAGTGAACTGATAACCTGAGGGGAGAAGATAAAGGAATACTGTTATTAACCAATGAATGAGTGTTTGCAGAGAACATATCATGGAGGATGAAGTACTAGACCTTGTCTTAATGATTTCATATCAGGAGGAACCTGACTAAAGCCTGTTAAATAAAGCCCTCATTATTTTGGAGAAGTGGTGGTCACCAAAGCCTTCACTGTCAACCTTTAGCTGTTTTTACAACTGTTTGTGTGTGTGTGTGCTTCACTCAGATTAACATATGTAAATTCTGTCATACAGAACACTGACCTATACAATAGCCTTTCTTTATCTGAAAACGAGTTAACATGAGAACTAGTGAAGTATGGTGTTTACATGGCATTGAAGGACATATACTGTGGAGTCTTATCTCTCCATGATCTTTTCATTCCTATAATCAGTGTCTACCCCATGGCCATGCCATGTCTCACCGTTATCTGTGTGTGGCCCGGTGTGCCAGGGTCGGCTGAGTGGCTGAGGGTAGTGGCACTGGCTGTACTGCAGCTCAGTGTGGGGTGGCTGAGACTGAGGCTGAGGCTGGTCCAGTGTGTGGCTGTACTCCCTCCACTCTTTCCTCTCCTGAGGAATCATGAATCCACCAGACACCTGGGGACAGGCCAGGGGGAGAGGAGACAGCTGTTAGCCAGGTAGTGGTGGGTTCCTGATCCACACACAGCAGGGAGATTGAGCTGTGAAGATCTTTGAATGTACCTGTTGCAGGGGTAAACAAATGACTTTACCTGGCTCTGTAGAGATGGGTACAGAGAGTGCATGGGGTAGCTGTTGACTGAGCTCATGTGTGAGGTTGTCTCTGCCATCTTGATCCCTGCATTACAGAAATTTAACAATAGACATCACATCATAGAACTCTCTATGTACTAATGCAAAATGATGTGGTGGTCCCTCCAGAAATATGCATGTCCTCAATAAGAAGACCTTCACTATGGTCAAATCAAATTGTATTCGTCTGTCAACTGTTATCCTTACAATTAGAGCCTTTTCAACAGAGCTCAAGGCTATTCAAGCCCTTCAAACAGTTGAATACAGAAACTATAGAGCCATGCAATAACAACATGTGTAAAGTGTCTCAACCCCCAGGTTGCAGGTTTGGTCTCGAAGAGTCAATTCTAACTGAGACTGCCAGATGAGAGTGACAAAGGGGTCTTCTGACGGTGGAGCCTTCAGCCTTTGTTATGCAAGCCTGGAGGTTAAGTGTGTATGTTGTGCATTCTGCACTGGGTAACTGAAGCCTTCTAAAAAAAGCGCAGAGGCCTTTTTGGTACACACATTGGCTTCCTCTCTGCTTCCTGCCTCATCAGACGATGGAGGCAAAATGTAACATTGCCGGCTGTGTATATGTCTGCTCGGCTAGGTTCAGAGTCAGACAACATGAGTTCGGGGCTCACCCTCTATGTAAGCAGGTGATTGTTCTAGGGAGGGGTAGACTACAACACTTCTCAGAAGCACAGGTTATGGTTTTATTACGGCAGTGCAGGTGTAACTTGAACCCAAGTGCTTTCATTACCTTTGACACATGAAATCTGTGACATCAACTGCCAGTAGTCAGTAGAAGTAATCACTTCACTATGGTACAGTACAGTCAGAACAGTAGGCATTTCTGACAGCAGCTTACACTCATGACATGGGCTTGACATTGGAAAAACAACAATAAGATGAACAAAACGTGCCTTTCTTAGCTCCCTCCGGTATGATTCTGTAGACTTTGTAAGGATCTGATATGTCCAGTTGGCTTCGCTCCACCAGCTCATCAAAGTCATTACTTTTGTTCAGAGCACATCGCAGTCTGGTCTTCCATGTGGGGGGATCTGGTTTGTCCACTCCTTCCCTGTGTTTCCCTTTGAACAATGCCCAGGCCTGCAATAATCAACAACATAATAAGTTGACAGATTAACATTTCCTCTCTACATTAAATTTCAATTTATCTGCCGATAAGTAAGGCATTGTGGGCCTGCATCAAAATTAACATGTCATGGTCTTTGCCTTGAACAAATATCCATTCCCTTGAACAAAGATCATCACTTGTTATACCCAATAAGAATCAACAGGTAGTCTATAGCAAATACTGTAAATTACACCTGACCAAGTAGACTAGGTCTGGAGATAAATAAGTATGAATATGATTGAGTTAGCTATACTTTATGGCGCTCCTGCACATTATATTCAATATTCACGAGTTGTGAATAGTAACTTCAAAGTAGAAGAAAAAGAACAGGAGAAGTCGGGTAAAGTCAGGGTGTGGGTCCAAACGCACCTTGAAGAGTGCAGCATCCTCGTCTCGATTGTAATCCTGTTTGCCCGCATGTTTCCATGGAATCCTGAAAACGCTTTTCTCTTCATTCTCCCAAACCAGTCCGGGATAGCGGCAGCTGTCAATCTGATCGATCAGCCACTGTCTAAGTTTCCCATTGCCACAAATCACTGACTGGCCTCTGTCCCCCTCTAAGTTCATCTCTTTCGAAAAGCGCATGCAATAGAAGGATGGGCATAGTGATGATGTGGGAACAATGAGTCGGTTATCATGCAATGCAAAAAAAAAAAAAAATACATTGTCAGTTGGTGCTGAGTGATGGAGGTTAATGTTATTAGGGAAATCATGCTTTTATGAAATGTAATGCATTCATGAAATTAGGCTTTAATATCACTACTTTTTTGAGAATATAATCGTTGAGATTATTACATATGTTTAATCACATTTTAAAAAATCACTAAAAATAAGTCGGCCTAATTTAAGAACGAAACACTTCTGGATTTGTTGGTCATCTTAATTCAAAGACAAGTCAATTAATATTTTGTAGGCTTATAATTGCAATCAGAAATACAATGTTATAATCACATGCATAAAATAAATAACATAATAGCCTAGTGTTGAGTGCATCAACATCACTGCATCAATTTCAAGACGTTTTCCCTCTCTTATGTTCTACACTATGAATGAGAATAAACTCCTTACCTCTAACCATGTGAGCGTCTCTGACAAGTAATGAAATCGATCTCACGGACACTGTTCTCAAAAGAGAGCATGGGATGACCTATTCTTAAATATTGTCATATCTTTATGGCGGTGTCTTGACTGGGAGGAGCCTATACACTTTATGCGTGCATCGCTATGCGCTACATTTCTTTGAAGCTTATCGAGAACAACCTACATACAGTAGCCTACAGTAAGTGGATGGGGAATCCCTCTCGAGTGGCAAACACTGCCATGGAATGGAACAATTACCTGCGCTAAATATAAGAAAAGAAACTCCCTAAAATCGTGATTATGTAAATAGATTGCGCTACCATTCCATGTTTATACTTTAAAATAGTCTACTGTATTATAAAATCCTAAAATATAATTGTTCTTGAGTTTACAGTGCATTCGGAAAGTATTCAGACCCCTTGGCTTTTTCCACATTTTGTTACGTTACAGCCTTTTTCTAAAATGGATTAAATCGTTTTTTCCCCTCATCAATCTACACACAATACCCCATAATGACAAAGTGAAAACAGGTTTTTAGAAATAAAATAAAAACAGAAATACCTTATTAACATAAGTATCCAGACCCTTTGCTAAGAGACTCAAAATTGAGGTCAGGTGCATCCTGTTTCCATTTATCTTATTATTATTATTATTATTATTATATTTTTTTTGGTCATTTAGCAGGCTCTTATCCAGAGCGACTTACAGTTAGTGAGTGCATACATTTTCATACTGGCCCCCCTGGCCCCCGTGGGAAACGAACCCACAACTCTGGCGTTGCAAGTGCCATGCTCTACCAACTGAGCTACATGGGGCCTTGCATGTTTCTACAACTTGATTGGAGTCCACCTGTGATAAATTAAATTGATTGGACATGATTTGGAAAACACACACATGTCTATATAAGGTCACACAGTTGACAGTGTATGTCAAAGCAATTGTCAGTTGAGCTCCAAGACAGGATTGTGTCGAGGCACAGATCTGGGGAAGGGTACAAAACATTTCCGCAGCATTGAAGGTCCCAAAGAACACAGTGGCTTCCATCATCCTTAAATGGAAGAAGTTTGGAACCACCAAGACTCTTCCTAGAGCTGGCCGCCCAGCCAAACTAAGCAATTGGGGGAGAAGGGCCTTAGTCAGGGAGGTGACCAAGAACCAGATGGTCACTCTGACAGAGGCCCAAAGTTCCTCTGTGGAGATGGAAGAACCTTCCAGAAGGGCAACCATCTCTGCAGCACTCTACCAATCAGGCCTTTATGGTAGATTGGCCAGACAGAAACCACTCCTCAGTAAAAGGCACATGACCACCCGCTTGAAGATTGCCAAAAGGCACCTAAAGACTCTCAGACCATGAGAAACAAGATTCTCTGGTCTGATGAAACCAAGATTGCACTCTTTGGTCTGAATGCCAAGTGGCACGTCTGGAGGAAACCTGGCATCATCCCTACAGTGAAGTATGGTGGTGCCAGCATCATGCTGTGGGAATGTTTTTCAGCGGCAGGGTCTGGGAGACTAGTCAGGATCGAGGGAAATATGAACGGAGCAAAGTACAGAGAGATCCTTGATGAAAACCTGCTCCAAAACACTCAGGACAGACTGGGGCGAAGGATCACCTGCCAACAGGACAACGACCCTAAGCACACAGCCAAGACAACGCAGGAGTGGCTTCGGAACAAGTCTCTGAATGTCCTTGAGTGGCCCAGCCAGAGCCGGGACTTGAACCTGATCGAACATCACTGGAGAGACCTGAAAATAGCTGTGCAGCGATGCTCCCCATCCAACCTGACAGAGCTTGAGAGGATATGCAGAGAACAATGGGAGAATCTCCCCAAATACAGGTGTGCCAAACTTGTAGCGTCATACCCAAGAAGACTCGAGGCTGTAATCGCTGCCAAAGGTACTTCAACAAAGTACTGAGTAAAGGATCAGAAAACTTATGAAATGTGATATTTCAGTATCTTTTTTTATATAAATTTGCAAACATTTCTGAAAACCTCTTTTTGCTTTGTCATTATGGGGTATTGTGTTTTGATTGATGAGGGGGGAAAAACAATTTAATCAATTTTAGAGTAAGGCTGTAACTTAACAAAATGTGGGAAAAGTGAAGGGGTCTGAATACTTTCCGAATTAACTGTATATCATTTTCATAATTTATATTACTTTTAAAATTGAATTTCTATTTCATTTAGTCAACCCTCTTGATAGGTAATTACAGTATTACACTGATGAAAATATGGTATATCTTAGTGGAGGAGAGTGGTTTAATTTCATTAACAAATAGCCTACAACATAGCCTAAATTGGTTTTACTATGGTAATACTGCTGCCCTCCAGTGGTTGTGTAGTGTACATAACCTTAAATATAAACTGGGTCTATTTCATAGACTGTATGATATATCTACTGGAGGGCTACACTATAGGTAAGCGGATAGGTAGGCTACAGACAAATAAAATTTAGTCACTTTTCAGAGCTAGTTGCACTCATGCCCAGCCCTCTCTATCCCTCCGATGCTGACAGTGAAAGGTGGCTGAAAAGGTTGTTTTTACTGCTGTCATGCAAGGCTTCCTTTGCATTCCACACAAACAGGAAATAGACCCGGAAACAGAGAGGTAAACAGCGCAGAGCATGTCTTTCTGTCATCACATGGTATCTGACAGCACACACAGCAGTTAATAACCATTTCATCACACAGTGACATGAATCCTTTTATTATTGCACAAAAAGCTGACGTGGCTTCAAGAAGAAACAAATGACATGGTAACAATATTATACATTTTCAAGGTTTAGAAAAACAAGTACAAATACTGAACATGGCATACATAGCTATATACATAAAATAGGGGTTATAAAACCAGTAGTATTAGCCATAATAAAACATCAATAAACCTTCTCAAAATGGTGCATCAATTGGCCCATCCTCCCCCAGTCGTCTCCAGCAAAGGGACAACAACAGAGAGAGAGTCTGGTCCAACGGCATACTGACAGAGAGAGAACCCCCCCCCCCCCCCCCCCCCCCCCCCCCCCCCCCCCCCCCCCCCATCCCCCTCTCGGGGCTAGAGTGGTATCATCCCCCAATGCAAGCCTTAAGACCTGGATAAGGGGTCTCAGGTACCCTGCAATCCTGGAGGGGTGGGCAGCTCAACATTCACCTTCACCGCCACCCCGTTGGGTTTGAGACTCCTGGCCAACAGGATGCGGATGTCATCCTCGTCATTGAAGGGACTCTCTTTGTACTCCTGCCGAAGCCACTCCCTGTACTGCAGAGACAGACAACAACATACAGTATGTCAATATTCTTGTCTACTAAGGCAGCTGTATTCTCTTCCTCAAGTAACTATGAGGCTACTCTTCTCTCTGAAGGCTTTAATGCTTAATACATAAATGTTTAATGATAAGAAACTCATTTTTATTGAACTTCCATTTCCTCCAAGAGTGCCTGCATATCTTTCACTGTCACCTGTACCTAGACTGACATCTTCCCCTCTGTCCACCCTCTATCCCCCTCTGTATTGACCTGGTCAGCGTGAGTGGTCTCAAACTCCTGGAGCTGGCGCTGAAACCCCAGGTTGGGGCCAGCGCATGGCCGAGCCACCCTCACAGCAGCCAGAGCCTCCTGCCAGCCCAGCCCTGTCACTGTCATGATGTAGGCCACCACCAGGGAGACACTGCGAGACACACCCGCCAGACTGCATGAAGAGAGGAATGGATGGTTAAGCAGAGATGTATAGGAGCAGGCATGGCCATGATAGAGATAAAGGGCATGGACATCAGCAGGTCATTAATAGACATACATTTAATTGAATTGGAAGTCAAAGATAGAGGCTGTGGAGGCAACATTAGAAAATGTAAATAAAGGAAGGATCTTCTATATTTCTCAGATAGTCTAACAACACGATACATTCAAATCAAGATTGTTCTTTGGGGAAGTTCAAAAATAGCCTTCTGTGTAATCTATGTGCTGCTTACCATAGTCACACATGGGTTCACTTGTGAGCACTCAGATAAACCCAGAGATACAGTAGCAGATGGACAAATTAAGAAGTTTTGTATCTTATGACTCACCAGTGGACCAGACAGCCCTCTCCTTTCAGCCGGGACTCGTGCATGAACATGATGCTTTGTTTGAAGTGCTGTGTCCTGAGAATGACACACATACAGTGAGGGAAAAAAGTATTTGATCCCCTGCTGATTTTGTATGTTTGCCCACTGACAAAGAAATTATCAGTCTATAATTTTAATGGTAGGTTTATTTGAACAGTGAGAGACAGAATAACAAAGAAATCCAGAAAAACGCATGTCAAAAATGTTATAAATTGATTTGCATTTTAATGAGGGAAATAAGTATTTGACCCCCTCTCAATCAGAAAGATTTCTGGCTCCCAGGTGTCTTTTATACAGGTAACGAGCTGAGATTAGGAGCACACTCTTAAAGGGAGTGCTCCTAATCTCAGCTTGATACCTCTATAAAAGACACCTGTCCACAGAAGCAATCAATCAATCAGATTCCAAACTCTCCACCATGGCCAAGACCAAAGAGCTCTCCAAGGATGTCAGGGACGAGATTGTAGACCTACACAAGGCTGGAATGGGCTACAAGACCATCGCCAAGCAGCTTGGTGAGAAGGTGACAACAGTTGGTGCGATTATTCGCAAATGGAAGAAACACAAAATAACTGTCAATTTCCCTCGGCCTGGGGCTCCATGCAAGATCTCACCTCATGGAGTTGCAATGATCATGAGAACGGTGAGGAATCAGCCCAGAACTACACGGGAGGATCTTGCCAATGATCTCAAGGCAGCTGGGACCATAGTCACCAAGAAAACAATTGGTAACACACTACGCTGTGAAGGACTGAAATCCTGCAGCGCCCCCAAGGTCCCCCTGCTCAAGAAAGCACATATACAGGGCCATCTGAAGTTTGCCAATGAACATCTGAATGATTCAGAGGAGAACTGGGTGAAAGTGTTGTGGTCAGATGAGACCAAAATCGAGCTCTTTGGCATCAACTCAACTCGCCGTGTTTGGAGGAGGAGGAATGCTGCCTATGACCCCAAGAACACCATCCCCACCGTCAAACATGGAGGTGGAAACATTATGCTTTGGGGGTGTTTTTCTGCTAAGGGGACAGGACAACTTCACTGCATCAAAGGGATGATGGACGGGGCCATGAACCGTCAAATCTTGGGTGAGAACCTCCTTCCCTCAGCCAGGGCATTGAAAATGGGTCGTGGATGGGTATTCCAGCATGACAATGACCCAAAACACACGGCCAAGGCAACAAAGGAGTGGCTCAAGAAGAAGCACATTAAGGTCCTGGAGTGGCCTAGCCAGTCTCCAGACCTCAATCCCATAGAAAATCTGTGGAGGGAGCTGAAGGTTCGAGTTGCCAAACGTCAGCCTCAAAACTTTAATGACTTGGAGAAGATCTGCAAAGAGGAGTGGAACAAAATCCCTCCTGAGATGTGTGCAAACCTGGTGGCCAACTACAAGAAACGTCTGACCTCTGTGATTGCCAACAAGGGTTTTGCCACCAAGTACTAAGTAATGTTTTGCAGAGGGGTCAAATACTTATTTCCCTCATTAAAATGCAAATCAATTTATAACATTTTTGACATGCGTTTTTTCTGGATTTTTTTGTTGTTATGCTGTCTCTCACTGTTCAAATAAACCTACCATTAAAATTATAGACTGATCATGTCTTTGTCTGTGGGCAAACGTACAAAATCATTAGGGGATGAAATACTTTTTTCCCTCACTGTACAGGTTATGTATGGTCATAAGCAGGTCATAACACAATAACAAACCAGTTACCATTCCCAGAAAGGTAACAAAATTGTATCTGTTGTGGAAGACAAATCATATAGGACAAGTAACATTAAAGTTGCCAAAAAAACTGTAAAACTGAAACGGGCCCTCCACCCCAGTCATAGAAAGTGGGGGGATGAGTGGTTAAGGGTGTGCGACACAGGAGGCTGCTGAGGGGAGAACGACTCATAATAATGGCTGGAATGGAGTGAATGGAAAGGCGGAAAAACACACATGGAAACCATGTGTTTGATGTGTTCGATAGCATTCCATGAGCCCGTCCTCCCCAATAAAGGTGCCACCGGCCGCCTGTGGTGTGCGAGCAGTGAAGGGTATGGGTGAGGGGAGGGCCATAGGGGTGAGCATGTGTGTGTTCTTCTAGGCCCTAGGGCTATCCATCTATCCTCCTGACAGGACCAGGATGAGCAAGTGGTGTCTGTGTCCATCTCTGGCTAGCCAGGGTCAGTTTTACATTTCGCTTGCTGGTTTCACACACCTTGCTGGAGAGACGTGGGGGTAACAGGGGAGTTGACAGCGACATCTGGGTGCCTGGGTGTGAGTGTGTGTGTGTGTGTGTGTGTGTGTGCGTGCGTACGTGCATGTTTTTTTGGGGGTGTTATAAAAATAGAGATGCAGTGCAGACGGACAAGGCAACTCTGCAGTAAATAACCAGAGACTTCCTGTTCCTTCCTGCATAGAGGACCAGACATCCTGCACTCTACGCACTGTGTGTGTGTGCATATAGGCATGTTTTTTTTTACAGCATCTATCTATCCACCTATTTATGTATGTATATGTTGATCTGTGGGTGCTCAGTACATCTCTGCATGTGTTTGTGTCTTAATCCTAATGTGTAAAAATCATTCCATGGTTTCTCATTAGAGATATCAGAAGCTGAGTCGCCTAGTCATCTAGTGATTTATTCAGTGCTTTGATTCACAGTCAACTGGTGAGCATGTGAATCATATCATTTTCATATCAGGAGAACATGAACTAGAGACGCCCACACAGTATGTGTGCGCTGGATAGAATGGATCTGACTGGTCTAGTCTGCTTCAGTCCGGTGCTGATCTGTTCTGTAGAATGGATCTGACTGGTCTAGTCTGCTTCAGTCCGGTGCTGTTCTGTTCTGTAGAATGGATCTGACTGGTCTAGTCTGCTTCAGTCCGGTGCTGTTCTGTTCTGTAGAATGGATCTGACTGGTCTAGTCTGCTTCAGTCCGGTGCTGTTCTGTTCTGTATGGTAGCCTTGTGTACTGTGTGGTGCTGTGTGTTAGGGTACTTACAGGTTTTGTGTGGGCAGGTCTGCTGCTGAGATGCATAGATAGGTAATCTCCTGCAGGAAAACAGCCAACTGTTATATGCTCTAACACAATTACAATCTAATAGGCAAAGTATGCCGACAGGATCGTTGTAAACACCACTCTGTACACACTATTACATAATGCTGAATTCTCAGTCTTACAAGTGTTTCTGCAAACAACAAAAAACATTACGTAAGCTTCCACACCAGGTCCTATCCTATAGACTGTGTTTATGATGGTGGGATGGCAGCTGTAGTGAGGAAGTAAAGGAATGGGAAAACATTACGTAAGCTTCCACACCAGGTCCTATCCTATAGACTGTGTTTATGATGGTGGGATGGCAGCTGTAGTGAGGAAGTAAAGGAATGGGAAAACATTACGTAAGCTTCCACACCAGGTCCTATCCTATAGACTGTGTTTATGATGGTGGGATGGCAGCTGTAGTGAGGAAGTAAAGGAATGGGACAGACCGTGCTAGTTTCTGTAGGGAGTAGTAGAATTCGAGAACACCAAATCCCACACAAGCTAGAGCCAGAGCACTGGGTCAGAAACTCAAATGAATCCTCCTCTCTGCCACCTACTCCCTCGCCTACACCCTCCCACAGAGCTCAGACAGGCTCCAACAAATTCTTTCTATTGAAGTAACGTGAACCTGTTTTGTTTGGGATGGGGCCTAGTCTAATATTACACACTAAGCCACATTCGCATACTGCTGTCCTGAATTACCTGACAGACTGGTCCAGGGGCAAACATACACCATGCTCTTATGGGAAGAGCAGTCATGGGGACTGTCATGGGGACTGTCCATTTATTTGAAAATCTTGATTTGTAACATTAACATCCATCTAAATTGGATTTTGAAACTGGATTTTGTGCGCGCGTATGATACAGACAGGCATTAACGAACGTGTGTTAATACATGTGTCAGGTGTCATTAGATCACGTACATTCATATAATAGCCTCATGCGTAAAAAATGTCTGATGAGGTATTTAGCCATTTTGATCTAGCGAATGGTCCACTGGGAAATGTTTTCTTACCGGCAGGATAGGGGCTGCACTGTCATGGATGGAGAGGATGTGTGTGATGTTGTTCCTTGCTAACTGTTCCCTGTCCCTCGCATCTAAAGGAAAACAATTATTGAATGACAAACACATTAATCATCTATTAAATATTCATAGAATGTTCTCAAATATGAATGTGCCACTGAAATGTACTGGAAGGGAAAATGATGAAGGGGTGTCTTCATTGGTCTTATCCTTAGCTCAAGCCTTTGACCAGTACAGTTGGGAAGAAACACTTACCTTTGAAGTTTCCCAAGTACAAGTCAGGCAGGACCTACGGGAAGGTAAGCATTCAATATTAATGTGTGACCTGTTGTTTACATTCACCAGTGTTCTTAAACCTGACATAATTACAACAAGCATTTCATTCATTACACAAATAACTAGGCTAAGCAACCATATTACTACTCAAAACACAAGCCCCTGGGCCTATACTCCTGTACCACTATTGACAGGAAAGATGAAACTCAAATATATAGCCTGTGTTCTCAAGAAAAGACAACATGGAGGTCCAGAGACAGTATATTTAGTTTGACACCAAATATCAGAGGAGAGTGAGCTCACATAAATGACACAGGTCACTCTGATGCCACACAAAATAATAGTGATAATAAGACATGTTAATGGAGGATCTGTGTGTGTGAGTGTGTGTGTGTGTGTGTGTGTGTGTGTGTGTGTGTGTGTGTGTGTGTGTGTGTGTGTGTGTGTGTGTGTGTGTGTGTGTGTGTGTGTGTGTGTGTGTGTGTGTGTGTGTGTGTGTGTGTGCAGTGGTGTAAAGTATTTAAGTAAAAATACTTGAAAGTACTACTTAAGTCGTTTTTGGGGTTATCTGTACTTTTACTTTACTATTTATATTTTCCCTGTCACCCAAAAGTACTCATTACATTTTGAATGCTTAGTAGGACAGGAAAATGGTTCAATTCATGCACTTATCAAGAGAACATCCCTGGTCATCTCTACCGCCTCTGATCTGGCTGGCTCACTAGGGGTTGAAGGATTATTGTTATACTATTCCAGGTATTCCTTAAAGAGGTAGGGTTTCAAGTGTCTCCGGAAGGTGGTCAGTGACTCCGCTGTCCTGGCGTATATAAGTAATTTCAAATGATTTATACTTTTACTTTTGATACTTAAGTATATTTAAAACTGACTTTTACTCAAATAGTATTTTACTGGGTAACATTCCCTTTTACCTGAGTCATTTGGTACTTTTTCATCCACTGTGTGTGCCTGTGTGTATCCCACATACCTCTCCTCCCCCATCTCAAACCCAGCTGGAATGACAGCGATGAGAGGTGCAGAAAGCTTTTCCAATTGAAATGAGTTGATGACACCTGTTGTGTACACCAAGTACCAAGCCAACATTTGAGAAGGTCAATTGCTAAAGTATCCATGATGACATGTAGCCTACAGTATGTGATAAGACACAGCAATGCATTACACCCATAAGTAATATCACCAAATGTAGTATGCTAAGATCATTTTCAACAGAAATCTGTCCACTGTGTAGGCAAGGAGTTGGAATGTAAAAGCACAACGCCTACACACCGGATGTGTGTACTTTGATAGACAGCTAGTCATTAAAGTGTACAGTGTCCAGTAGCCTACATACAGCGGCAAACAGACACTCTTATGGCAGATGGTATTAAGTGGAATATGGTATTATGCAACTGTGCACGATTCAATATAAATTCGATGTAATACGTGTTTAAAACACCAATAGAACTCACGTATTAAACACATTTGACAACACGCGTTTGATTGACATTCTATATTCATTATTCATTGAAACCCCCTGTCTACAGAACTACTGTAGCCTTCTCGGAAACCATGCGTAAACTTTGCTTTAGGAGCGCATGCATAGGCTGTATATCAACGAATAACATACCTTATTGAGCCCATTACCCATTCTAAGCGAAGACGTCTGTAAAACCAACGAATGGAAATTACGGCATTTATTGTTGTACTCTTGTCTCGAGAAGTAGTTCTCCAACGGCTTTCCCAAAAGCTCCCCAAATTGCGAGCGATCGAGGACCTCACACAGTCTGCAGCAGCGCTGTTCTATAAAGCTCCCGATGTTTTTAATGCTTCCTGGGATATGTAGTTTTGCTTATCTAGAGAGGCATGGGCTCTGTAAATGAAGGATGGTAGGCCTACACTTTTTTTATATTCACTATTTCTATACAGTTTATGCCATAGTATACTCTATGGGTACGCTTCACCTATAGGCAATAGGCATACAGTCAAAGATCTCTCAATTTATGAATGAAGGAATGGACACAGAGTTTTTTTTGTCTAGTGTGGAAACAAAAGTATTCTAATTTCACAACATACATATTCATTTTTGGTAAAAGCCACTCACTCAACATCTTTGTTTATCATTATTAATTACAGGACTTATTATTTTGGAGATGAGGCAAGCAGTGAGATACTGCCAACTTATTTTTATCTGTCTTCACATAAGCCATAATGTATATATTGTTGAATAATTGCAATCACATATCATGACCAGTAATAACATATATAGGGATATTTGCTTTGAATGAAAAGCTTACCAAACTTATTGAGCTTTGCTGTGGGCAGAAATTGTTACAATGCTGGCCTATACAAAATAGGCACCAGGCCAGACAATAGTGCATTTAGGCCTATTACACCCATACCGTTATTGATTAAACCACTTTCATTCACCCAGACTCTATTACATAAGGCAGACAATAAGAACCAGTAAAACAGTGGATGCCAGGGTTACTGTAATGACACTGAATCATGAAAAGAGAACCCAGAGCCATGGCAAATGATGATGTGAAATACTTTGTTATGGCTTTAGTGTGTGAGGACAGGCAAAGAATATAGCGGAGGTCGGGGGCGTTTACAGAATATAGGCCTACTCCAGATGTACTGTAGGCCTTGGCCTAACTCTGCACATTCAGTGCAGTCTGGTCACATCACCCAAAACCTTCAGAAGCGCTACCATTCAGGTGGTTTCCCATCCTGGTTTCAGAGAAAATCTTACTTTATCAATGGATCACAATCTCTTTTGTTTTTGTCAGTGTATGCTTTAATTCAGTGTGGTTTGGCTGTGTTGAGTCATTGTGCCGGTAAGTGAAAGTGTCTTGTTATTTCCTTTTTAGTGTCTGTAAATTACTCTGAAATAGATTCTTTAAAAAGATTCTGGTTATTTTGGGGGTAGCTATTTTGATCCTTTAATATATCATTGTATTAAAGGAACAGCCAAGCTATAAGTGGTAAAGTGGCCTACATGCTTCACATGTCTCTCTCTCTCTCTCTCTCTCTCTCTCTCTCTCTCTCTCTCTCTCTCTCTCTCTCTCTCTCTCTCTCTCTCTCTCTCTCTCTCTCTCTCTCTCTCTCTCTCTCTCCCTCTCTCTCTCATAATACACACACAAACACAAAGAGTATGATTGTGGTCAGGGCTGACAGGTCTTCTCAGCCCCCTAACAAGATGATGTTGCAGCATCAGGAAGTGCCACACACACAATACCTTTGTCATTACAACCTCGTATAGCGACTTGGAGCATTAGGTAATGCCTTCTTAGGGCATACAGATTTACCTAGATTAAACACGACCTTCGTTACTGGCACAACGAACCCTAAACATGAGCCTCACTCCTACTGTACTGGAGAGGCATCTTAATAAATACTAGCAACATATTCTTAGGACAATCACCCTTAATGAAGCCCCATGTCGGAGTGCTGGTGTGAATAATGTAATGATGAACCATGTTCTCTTCTTTGGTAGATGAACTGTGATAGACGCATACCTCCAGTAGGCGGTAATAGTGCTCTATTTTACTGGACTATTTTTATTTTTATGGGCTTTTGCCTCCCGATCTGACCATGGCACTATGCAATGAAAGAAGGTAGTCCAACTGTGATATCATTGTAAGCCCATTGCCTAGGCTAGGAATCTGTCTTTGACCAAAATGTTCAGCTCCATTCACATTTCATAATTTATACCACAGAAAAAACATTTTCGTTTCAAATATTGTAAGATCATTTTTTCTCTCAGTGGCCTTGCGGTTAGAGTGTCTGCCCTAAATTCAATCCCTGGCGGAGTCACACCAAAGACTGTACAAATAGGACCTGATGCGTCTCGGCTTGGCACTCAGCATTAAGGAGATATATTTGGGGTTAAGGCCCTGCGATAGACTAGCGTCCTGTCCAGAGGGAATACTTGTATATTCACTAAGCTGCCTCACGCTACAGAAACAGGAGATATACTCCTGCCCTATGAGCGGTTCCGGCTCGCACAAGCCAAGGCTCGTGCAAGGCTACTTACTTACTACAGTCAGTGAATACAGTTGAAGTCGGAAGTTTACATACACTTAGGTTGGAGTCATTAAAACTCGTTTTTCAACCACTCCACAAATTTCTTGTTAACAAACTATAGTTTTGGCAAGTCGGATAGGACATCTACTTTGTGCATGACACAAGTAATTTTTCCAACAATTGTTTACAGACAGATTATTTCACTTAGAATTCACTGTATCACAATTCCAGTGGGTCAGAAGTTTACATACACTGAGTTGACTATGCCTTTAATTAGCTTGGAAAATTCCAGAAAAGGATGTAATGGCTTTAGATGCTTCTGATAGGCTAATTGACATCATTTGAGTCAATTGGAGGTGTACCTGTGGATGTATTTCAAGGCCTACCTTCAAACTCAGTGCCTCTTTGCTTGACATCATGGGAAAATCTAAAGAAATCAGCCAAGACCTCAGAAAAAAAATTGTGGACCTCCACAAGTCTGGTTCATCCTTGGGAGCAATTTCCAAATGCCTGAAGGTACCATGTTCATCTGTACAAACAATAGTACGCAAGTATAAATACCATGGGACCACGCAGCCGTCATACCGCTCAGGAAGGAGACGCGTTCTGTCTCCTAGAGATGAACGTACTTTGGTGCGAAAAGTGCAAATCAATCCCAGAACAACAGCAAAGGACCTTGTGAAGATGCTGGAGGAAACAGGTACAAAAGTATCTATATTCACAGTAAAACAAGTCCTATATCGACATAACCTGAAAGGCCACTCAGCAAGGAAGAAGCCACTGCTCCAAAACCACCATAAAAAAGCCAGACTACGGTTTGCAACTGCACATGGGGACAAAGATCGTACTTTTTGGAGAAATGTCCTCTGGTCAGATGAAACAAAAATAGAACTGTTTGGCCATAATGACCATTGTTATGTTTGGAGTAAAAAGGGTGTTTCTTGCAAGCCGAAGAACACCATCCCAACCGTGAAGCATGGGGGTGGCAGCATCATGCTGTGGGGGTGCTTTGCTGCAGGAGGGACTGGTGCACTTCACAAAATAGATGGCATCATGAGGAAGGAAAATTATGTGGACACATTGAAGCAACATCTCAAGACATCAGTCAGGAAGTTAAAGCTTGGTCACAAATGAGTCTTCCAAATGGACAATGACCCCAAGCATACTTCCAAAGTTGTGGCAAAATGGCTTAAGGACAACAAAGTCAAGGTATTGGAGTGGCCATCACAAAGCCCTGACCTCAATCCTATAGAACATTTGTGGGCAGAACTGGAAAAGTGTGTGCGAGCAAGGAGGCCTACAAACCTGACTCAGTTACAACAACTCTGTCAGGAGGAATGGGCCAAAATTCACCCAACTTATTGTGGGAAGCTTGTGGAAGGCTACCCGAAACGTTTGACCCAAGTTAAACAATTTAAAGGCAATGCTAACAAATACTAATTGAGTGTATGTAAACTTCTGACCCACTGGGAATGTGATGAAAGAAATAAAACCTTAAATAAATCATTCTCTCTACTATTATTCTGACATTTCACATTCTTAAAATAAAGTGGTGATCCTAAGACATGGCATTTTTACTAGGATTAAATGTCAGGAATTGTGAAAAACTGAGTTTAAATGTATTTGGCTAAGGTCAATCAATCAATCAATTTTATTTTATATAGCCCTTCTTACATCAGCTAATATCTCGAAGTGCTGTACAGAAACCCAGCCTAAAACCCCAAACAGCTAGTAATGCAGGTGTAGAAGCACGGTTGCTAGGAAAAACTCCCTAGAAAGGCGAAAACCTAGGAAGAAACCTAGAGAGGAACCAGGCTATGAGGGGTGGCCAGTCCTCTTCTGGCTGTGCCGGGTGTATTTAAACTTCCGACTTCAACTGTATTTGCATCGAAATCATATGCTCTTTTCTCGATTAGCTACACTGGTCTGCAATTGACTTCTAAGACTTCCACAACATATTTTCTGTTGTTTCAGAATTGCGGCAACGAGAGAAATCCCGGAACTATAGGCCTATCCGTGGGATGAAAAGGTAGGTTATTTCTCTATAATTTACGATTTGACCTACATCTTTTATCATAATGCATACATAGACCTATTTACATTGAATTTTAAACTGCATTCATTATTTATGTCATCCACTTCATGTGTTGACAACTCTAACAGAGCAAGTTACAGTATTGGATTTCCGACTACGTCTTTCACTTCCATATTCAGTTCTGTATTTCGATTCAATGTAACGCCGCTGAAGCTCCTCAGCCTACTCCTCCATTCGTTCGGAAATCAACTAGTGTTACTATTTACATCATGAGAGATTGCTCTATTACTGATTAATTACAATGTATCCATTAGTCTCGTATCAACGCTAGAGGGAAATACCCGACCGAGGACCAGGTAGCAAGCCATGGCTACTGTGCAGGACTCCATCTACATGAAATCCGCTGATCTTATCAAAAAGGAGCCTCTGGACTACGGTGGATTCGGTACAGTGTATCTGTGCTATCACAAAACCCTCGGCCAGGTGGTTCTGAAGACCGTCTACACCGGGCCACCGCGTAATGAGTGAGTATAGCGGGCTATGGTGTAGAGGATTCCCCCAGTGTCTGTAAGTGTTGTGACTGTCACGCTCTACCGAGTTTCATATTGTAGTCTAAACCAGGGATTCCCAAACTTTTTCACTCAGGGACCCCCTTCCAGCATTGGGGAACATCCTGTGATGTGTATATTGCTAAAGTAGGCTATAGTAGGCGGCCTAGTTAATAAATAGGGATACATCTCCAAATTAACATATTTTCCTAGCTGGTAGTCTTGACCAAGCCTTCCTCCCTCTCTCCCTCAGGGGCAATAAGCAGTCCCTGCTAGAGGAGGGCAGCCTGATGAGCAGACTGAACCATGAACGGGTGGTCAAACTGCTGGGGGTGATCCTGGAGGATGGGGACTACTCTCTGGTCATGGAGCTCATCCCTAAAGGCAACCTGCTGGCCATGCTGGACCGGGTGAGAGGATATCACAACAACAACAACAGCTAACTTGTCTACACTGTCACTATAGGAATGAGGTTAGGTCCTGGACTCACAGGCCAGCCTCCTTCCTCTCACTGCAGAGATGGAAGGTCTTCAAACAGAACTCCACATTACATTTTGTCTGTGTAATATCAACAAGCTATTTTCTCTCTGGGCAAACAACTTGTATATATTCCTGTCTTTTCTCCAGGTGCCTGTGCTGATATCCATCAAGGGCAGGATCATACTGGAGATTCTGGAGGGGATGGTGTACCTGATGAAGAACCGTGTCGTACACAAAGATCTCAAACCAGAAAACATACTGGTGGACAAGGATTTTCACATCAAGGTACAGCACCCACTGTATAATATGCTTTATTACTGTTTATATCATTTACTTTACTGTGTGTGTGTGTGTGTATGTGTGTGTGTGTGTGCGTGTGCGAAGTCCCCACAAGAATAGTAAACAAACAAACATTTGACCAACTGGGAAAATGCTATTTCTAGGGGGTTTAAGGTTAAGGTTAGAATTAGTGTTAGGGTTAGAATTAGTTTTAGGGTTAGGTTTAGGAGCTAGGGTTAGGGTTAGGGTTAAGGTTAGGTTTTGGGGTTAAGGTTAGGTTTAGGGTTAGGTAAAATAGGATTTGGGGACTGAATTGTGTGTCCCAACAAGGTTAGTTATGCAAGACTGTGTGTGTGTGTGTGTGTATTGATGTCTCTACGTTCGATGTATGTGTATGAATATGGATATGTGTGTAATCTGTGTATGCAATGCATGTACATGTATGAATATGCATGTCTGTATCTGTGCTCCAGATTGCAGACCTGGGCCTGGCCACCTGTCAGACGTGGAGCAGGCTGACTAAGGAGGAGTCTCGCAGGCAGAGCCGGCTGGGGCGTCCCGGGTCTGGGGGAGGGGGGGGCAGGGCAGCTGGTACTCTGTGCTACATGGCTCCTGAGCACCTGGACAGCATCCACACACGCTCCTCTGAGAAGTCTGACGTCTATAGCTTCGCTATTGTCGTATGGGTCATCCTCACTGGCCGTGAGCCATATGAAAGTGAGTGTTGCTCACTCACTCAACAGAGGCCTGTTGCATTCAAATTAATCTGATGCGATTTCAGCCATATATACTGAACAAAAATATAAATCCAACATGCAACAATTTCGAGTTACAGTTCATATAAGGAAATCAATCCATTTTAATAAACGTATTGGGCCCTAATCTATGGATTTCACATGACTGGGAATACATATATGCATCTGTTTATCACAGATACCTTCAAAAAACGGTAGGGGCGTGGATCAGAAAACCAGTCAGTATCTGTTGTGACTACCATTTGCCTCATGCAGCGCGACACATCTCCTTCGCATAGAGTTGATCAGGCTGTTGATTGTGGCCTGTGGAATGTTGTCCCACTCCTCTTCAATGGCTGTGCGAAGTTGCTGGAGATTGGCGGGAACTGGAACACGCTGTCATACACGTCGATCCAGACCATCCCAAACATGCTCAATGGGTGACATGTCTGGTGAGTATGCAGGCCATGGAAGAACTGGGACATTTTCAGCTTCCAGGAAATGTGTAGAGATCCTAGTGACATGGGGCCGTGCATTATCATGCTGAAACATGAGGTGATGGCGGCGGATGAATGGCCCGACAATGGGCCTCAGGATCTTGTCACGGTATCTCTGTGCATTCAAATTGCCATCGATAAAATGCAATTATGTTCATTTTCCGTAGCTTATGCTTGCCCATACCATAACCCCACCGCCACCATGGGGCACTCTGTTCACAATGTTGACATCAGCAAACCGCCTGCCCACACAACGCCATACATGTGATCTGCGGTTGTGAGGCCGGTTGGACGTACTGTCAAATTCTCTAAAACGACGTTGGAGGCGGCTTATTGTAGAGAAATTAACATTAAATTATCTGGCAACAGCTGTGGTGGACATTCCTGCAGTCAGCATGCCAATTGCACACTTCCTCAACACTTGAGACATCTGTGGCATTGTGTTGTGTGACAAAACTGCACATTTTAGAGTGGCCTTTTATTCTCCTCAGCACAAGGTGCACCTGTGTAATGGTCATGCTGTTTAATCAGCTTCTTGATATTCCACACCTGTCAGGTGTATGGATTATCTTGTCAAAGGAGAAATGCTCACTAACAGGGATGTAATTTGAGATAAATAAGCTTTTTGTGGGTATGGAACATTTCTGGGCTCTTTTATTTCAGCTCATGAAACACCGGACCAACACTTAACATGTTGTGTTTATTTTTTTGTTCAGTGTAGTTTGTGAACTCTGATATATTTTATAGTAAGAGGTCCTTTGTTATTTTTTATGAATGTATAAGGTTTTTAGTTTTTCTGTACAGATTTGAATGCACTGAATTAATATTGGACTACTGTATTTCAGATGCTCGGAGTGAGGACCATATCTGCCAGTGTGTCCGTAAAGGTGATCGTCCTGATGAAGACCTCATCCCTGATGATACGCCTGTAGAGATCATAGAGCTAATGAAGAGATGCTGGCATCAGGATCCACAACTACGACCAACATTCGAAGGTGCGTGTGCATGTGTGTAGTGAGATTGAGGTACAGGAATTCCTAAATACAGTAAAATGCATTACAGTGTACACAATGCCAATCAATACAATGTTATTTGTATATATTTGTATATTTGTTTATCATTTTAAGCTTGGAAAAGAGAACCTTAAACCCAGACTTGGGACCACACAGTCACTCCACTGAATAGCAGGCTAGTGATTACTTTGCAATGCTTGCAGGTAGCCACTGATTCCTTCCAAACCACTCATTGTTGAATTGGCGATTTCCAACTTGTAGTGTAATGTATATGTCCAATGGCCGATGAGCACCGATACGTTTTATCTATTATTTCTCTTCATATGACAAGGATTAAAAAGGATTTGCCAGTAGATTGTCGACTTGATTCATGATGATGACTGCTAGCTAAGATTTTGAAAGTATGATGTAACGTGATTAACGTGATTTGACGTCATTTTATCTGTGGCCAATGACCTTGAGCCTTCATGGATGGGCACTTCTAATGTGGCAGCACCCAAGGGGCTTGAATTTTCGAGCTCTACCCTTAGATTTGGCGGTGACGTAGTGTCCGCATGAGTGACAGAACACTGAGCCAATCACGGCGCAACTAGAGAACATTACCAACCCCTACGCTCCGTATTTTCTGCTGGCTACCCCACCACCACAGAAAACACTGAGCTAGGCTGAAACACCTGCATTTTGGAGCTGCCTTACTCAAGAGAGCAAAAAAGAGGCAATGTTTGTATGGAGGCTTTATTAACTCAATGATTATTTATATATTTTTACATTGTTTGCAAACTGATATGTGACACGTAAAAATACCAAAATAACATGCGAAACAGGCAACTCAAAATGTGGGGCTCAAAACAGCCCTGAATGACAGGTCGCCACTGTTCCTAATGGTAGTGTAGATAACCCCTGAGAGGTATTAGACTCTAGAGGAGTCCCCATCCACCTGTGGCTAGCTGGACATACTGTATATATGTGTGTAACTGGTGTGAAATGGCTAGCTAGTTAGCAGTGCGCGCTAGTAGTGTTTCAATTGGTGACGTCGCTCGCTCTGAGACCTTCAAGTAGTTGTTTCCCTTGCTCAGCAAGGTAAGGCAATAGGTAACGATGCTTCATGGGAGGCAGTTGTTGATGTGTTCAGAGGGTCACTGTTTCGAGCCCAGGTTGGGGCAAGGACAGGGACGGAAGCAAGACTGTTTCACGTGTACAGACATGGCATTAAAGGGGTTTTTCGACCCTCTCTCCTTCTCCCTCCCTCCCTCCCTCTCTCTCTCCCTCTCTCCCTCCCTCCCTCCCTCCCTCCCTCTCCCCCTCCCTCTCTACTGCACCTGCTGTCTCGACCTCTAAACGATCTGGCCTTAATGGCCATGTACTGTTATAATCTCCACCAGGTTCCTGCCTTTCTAGGGAGTTTTTCCTAGCCACCGTGTTTCTACATCTGCATTGTTTGGGATTTTAGGCTGGGTTTCTGTATAAGCACTCTGCTGATATAAGAAGGGCTTTATAAATAAATGTGATTGATATTGCAGAGCATTTACACCTTGTACATTTCAACACATATTCAAAAAAAGTGCAATATGCAACCAATATGCTGTTTTCATCTACAAAAGTCAACATTGGACCTATGAATAAATTGGTACTTCAACAAGCATCAATTCATTGCATTCAGGAGTCTAATGTTACATCATGGTCTAATACACAGACTATTCTGTGGCTGTTGCTATGTTAGTCATGACTGCTCTAATTTTCTAATTTTCTCTCTCTCTACACAGAGGGCTACAACACCTTCCTTCCCGTCTACAGGGAGAAGTTAGAGCCAGATGTAGAGAGGGACTCACTTGGTCTCAGAGTAAGTTGCATGTGTGAACAAAGTAATAGCACTGTCATGAGTACATCATTGAATTAACCAAGTGCACAACAAAGCAAAGTCGGAACAAATACAGTAACTACGTGAAAGATATTGATGGGTGTTTAATATTACCACAATATTACAAAATGTATCATAAGGTCCATAACACCTTTTAAACAATATTATGCGTCCTGTGATCTGTTTCATTGGCATGCAGGACTTGTACGAGGGGCCAGAGGAGCTGGTGGAGAAGATGAAATCATTATCCATGCCCCCTGAGAGCCTCAAAGGAGGTGAGCAGTCTGAGCACAATGTGAGGCAGGCTTCATGGCCCTGACCCTCTATAGCTCTCCACCTTACTACTCTACACCACTCACTGCCTTGCTAAACAGTCTCAGCGTGGTGGAAGCTTGCGTCAAGTTTTATATTTAATTACTTTGCCTAAGCCCACTGATCCAAAGGTTTGGACAAAGTGCACTGAACTATTGGACATGAAAGAAAAGGGATACAAAAATTGAATGTGATGGGATGCACTAAGACCTCAACTTGAGATCTTTGCCAGTTTCTAGATTTACCATTCAAATCTCTCATTCTCATCAATAATCAAACCATTTATACGACAAGTTATTCACCTTGATCTTAATTTAGAATTCAGCTATTAAAAATGAACCCTCTACCACTTCTCCCTATAGACCGGCCGGCTCCCTTGCTGACCTCAGACGGTGCTGGGGCTGTCCGTGTAGAGGCTGGTCCAGTGGAGGCCAGCATCGAGGACCTGAACCTCTTCCTCCCCTGTGAGACCTCCCTAATCCAGCCAGATGCCTGGACCCTCGACCCGGTCAGCACCACCTCGGGCATGGAGCTCAAAATGGTCAGCGACTGCTCAGCCCTGGAAGTCAAACTAGCCCAGGAGTTGGAATATCACAAATATGGCAGCTACAGCCGGATGGAACAGCTTGACTTCAGCCCCTACCCTAACCCTCACCCTGCCACCCCACAGCGCCTCTGCTCACAGGACCCCACCGCCAATAGAGGGCTCCCCGACCTCAGTCCCTTCCATCCCTCCACGTCCCCAGTATCCTCTGTCCAGTCCTGGACCAAAACCCAGGCCGTCCAGCCCAGCAGCGTGGAGGTGGACCCCCACCTCCGTCTTTCTAGCCTAGGCCTGTACGAGGCCGCGGCCCCCTCAGGGGCCACCACCCCCAGGCGCCAGCTTTCCAGCCACATGCCTGAGTCCTCCAGCAGCCCCTCTCTAAGCCAGGGCCAGTACTCCCCCCAGCAGCAGGATCCCTACGCCCAGTACTACCGCCTCCAGTCATTGCCAGCCTACCCAGTGCCAGAGTCAACTGCCCCAGACCTCACTGCAGGGCTGCGCCTGAACTCGGGTGCCAAGGTTAGACCTCCACAGGACCCAGGTAGGGGTGAAGCACAGAGATTACAGTGCTTGTTACCACTATTACCATTATTACAGCTGATGCAGATTCCCCAATCAGCATGACAGCTATCTACCACTTCAATTAGAAAAGCATTTATAAGAAACAGTATGTGTGTGTGTGTGTGTGTTTTGCAGGAGGCCTGTTCATCCATAACGCCAGTGGGATCCAGATAGGCAGCAACAACACACTGAGCATCAGGGACCACGAGACTTACAGCAGGTCAGCCAGCTCTCTCTCCAATGGGGCAAACTCACACTCTCTACTCAAAGAGACCCTGCAGATGTACGGTAAGAATAGAATCCTGCAAAGAGGAGCCTACTTCCTGAAAATAGACATCTTCCTATTTTTCTATGTCATGTTTTCTACTTCTAGTCCCATATTTTGTCTAGCCACAATATAGGGGTTCTTACATTGTTTGTTTACACATTTATATATTTGGGGTTCAGAGGAGGCTGATATAGGAGGATGGGCTCATTGTAATGGCTGGAATGAATGGAACGGAGTCAAACACGTTGTTTCCATGTGTTTGATAGCATTCCATGTATGCCATACCAGCCATTACAATGAGCCCGCCCTCCTATATCTCCTCCCACCAGCCTCCTCTGGTGGGGTTATAATTGGGTTGGATAGTTCAACTAAGACCATGGGGCATTTAGAAGTGCTATTATTTAACAGTAAATTGGTATGTATCATTAAATGAGAGTAAATTATCAAAAACCCTTGTAAATATCACAGAAAAGGGTTGTTAACTTCCATTTTACACAATATGTTCCGTTGTGTCCTGTCCCGTGTTCAGAGGACCAGGCAGTGACTGAAGAGCACCTTGATCTCCTGAGAGAAAACATCGGGAAGGAATGGAAGCGCTGTGCCCGTCGTCTGGGCCTGAGCGAGGTGGAGGTGGACACCATCGACCAGGACTACCATCGTGACGGGTTGCCTGAGAAGGTGCACCAGATGCTGGAGCGCTGGAGGATGAAGGAAGGCTGTGTGGGCTGCACCGTGGGCCGGCTCTGCAGAGCCCTGGAGAACTGTGTCAAAGTAGACCTGGTAAAGAAGCTTCTTCTTGCCTGCTGGACCAATACTTCTCCGTAGGTACAGTAGACTGTATCTATTCCAGTCCCCCCTACCCCTAACCCAGAGAGAGACTTTCTACTCCAGCACTCCACCCACAGACACCCTTAAATTCCTACCAACCAATGTAATGTGTAATGTTTGTGAGTTGAGTTGTTAGTATTGAATTTTCCTGCCATAGGATATGAGTGTACAGGTTAGAGTTCTCATTCACAGCCCGAACCCGACAGGACCAGTCCTCAAATTCTGTGAATCTACTGTGCGTGTCTGTGCACCTTTTAGCTTTTTCTCAGCCACAGCAGCGCCAGGATTCCAATATTGGCTGGGCCAGAGAAATTTGTGGCCATGATGAAACTTTTTTTCTGATGATTGAAATGTTTCAAAACTGCAATATGAATAAGCTGGAGTGCACTCGGGAGAATGATGATCCACGAGACCACGACAGGCAGCGCATCTCAGTATCAGGAGAAGCCCATATTCCAATGGCATCTTTTAATGCCGATACATCCAAACAAAATACACCTTATGACTGCCCTGCTAATGTGCCTTGCTGGACCTTGTAAACTATCGAAAGTAGGCCAAATGTCAATCAAACATGCATTCAAAACACGGCGCTTTTGAGTGATTATTCAAATGGTCGTTTGGCAGAAAATCAAGTTATTTATTTATTGTTTCATTATTCAACACTCCCTTTGTTATTTCATTTCAAAATAAAATGCTTGATTGTTTTAAAGGCATGAATGACTATGCTGTGTAATGACTTGAATGAAGTATTGGTTGATTGAAGTAGGCTGTTACGTTATGACAGATAAAACAGGACACACTCTCACGGCTCGATGGTGGATAGATTATCCTATAAGGCTTAGGCTACTATGTGAGGCAAGAGCAAAAAAGTAGTGTACACTTGATTAAAACCTGTTAAACTCTGAGTGGTTGTTTTGGGCCCTGTATAGGGCCCGGTGAAAATAAATCATAATAATAATCAGAAAATAGAAAGCTACAGGCATGGTCTTTTTGGAAATCAAACTAAAATCTTACTGCTGGCAATGTCATAAGAATATGCCCCCCATAAAGGCCATAAATCATGGTCAAGTAACCAAAAGTGCAAACATTTAGTATGCATGGAAAGGGTACATCCCGATGGTCACTGTAAAGCAATGCATTTCCTTCTCCATCCACATTACCTTCTATGCAACCACCACACGCGCCATTTAGCTAGCTCATTGTTTACAATAGGAAAAGTGAATGGGACATGAAGTTTGAAGTTTCTTCACTTGTCTGTGTCTTATAAAAATAAACATAAACTAACTTCATAACTTCAAAGCCCTGATTGCTAGGGTCATTTTAAGATGTCAGGCTTGAAAATCCGTTCAGCCATTTTGGCACAGTGACTCACTACCCAAACCAGACGCAACTGGTTTCAAGTGGCCAAGAGACATCATGTGATCTCCTACTGCTGTCTAGTGGACGAACTGAGAATCAGACAGAGGATATATGGTATTGCACATTGCACATATATGGGATTGCACATTGCACATTGCACAAGCCCTGCACTTTTAAAATGGCTGCATTCCAGTGGGAATTTGTGCATGTTTAGAGCGCCACCATTAGGTAAAAGATTTTGTGACATATTTTTATCTCAAAACTAGACATTCAAATCTCTTATTCCCCAACATGGGGACAATTGGGGCGACCCCCCTGAAAAAAAATAAGAAAAAATAAGGTACATTTAAGTTTTGGGGGGCTCTGTAGTAGTCACATTGTCTCTGACACCTGAATCTGAATCCCACAGTTCTTACCTTTCTAACAGTACTACATGTGTTTGTAGGACTTATAGTTTTGAAACTGAAATGTACATTATGAGGGTAGTATACAATATTGTGTGTCATTTAGAAAATGCCCCCAGAAGGGGTCAGAGTTGAAAGGCAATACTTGATTTAGGCTACATTATTGCGTGCTAAATGTTTCTGATCAGTGATAGATGACCAAACAAATAAATGAGCTACCACCTTCACTTGTCCAGCCAGAGATCAATTAACCAAATATACAGACGGAGATTCAGTGAAACAAAATCACATTGGTTGATTATCAGTCACAGGCTTTTGGTAGCGAGTAGGACACTGTTAATTTTTTTGTGTGTTACTTTGACCATATAACATTCTTGTTGAATACCCAGTTCTTTTTGAGTTAGCATTAAATATTGTACACTTCCCTTTATTTTAGATTTGGACAAATAAACATTATATTCATATATCTGAATGTCTATCATCTGTTTGATGCAACAGAGCCCTGTACGGCTTATAAAAATATATTCGGTGAATACATAAAGGCAGACAAATTTTGAAGCTTGATCGAAGAGATCCATATTTATTCTTTGGTCCTTTATCCTGTGTAGGTACACAGGCAATGGTGGGCTGTGGAAGCAGAGTGCTTGTGGCGTATGGTCTTGATCCGTCTGCGGTGTACGGCCAGATCGATAAGACTGCCGGAAGTGGTGTAGGGCTCGTAGACCTTAACCACAAACTGTTTGGACCTCTTGCAGAAGATTTGCTGATACTGCAAGACATGGTTGTGGTGTTACCATTTTACACTTTTTGTGGAAGGGACGTAGGGCAACACACCTTTGTTGGTATCGGTGTCAATTAAGAAGGTGTGCCTTCTTAAAAGTGAATTTGTGGAATTTCTATCCTTCTTAATGCGTTTGAGCCAATCAGTTGTGTTGTGACAAGGTAGGGGGGGTATACAGAAGATAGCCCTATTTGGTAAAAGACCAAGTCCATATTATGGCAAGAACAGCTCAAATAAGCAAAGAGAAATGACAGTCCATCATTACTTTAAGACATGAAGGTCAGTCAACACGGAAAACTTCAAGAACTTTGAACGTTTCTTCAAGTGCAGTCGCAAAAACCATCAAGCGCTATGATGAAACTGGCTCTCATGTGGACCGCCACAGGAATGGAAGAACCAGAGTTACCTCTGCTGCAGAGGATAAGTTCATTAGAGTTACCAGCCTCAGAAATTGCAGCCCAAATAAATGCTTAACAGAGTTCAAGTCTCAGACACATCTCAACATCAACTGTTCAGAGGGTACTGTGTGAATCAGGCCTTCATGGTCGAATTGCTGCAAAGAAACCACTACTAAAGGACACCAATAAGAAGAAGAGACCTGCTTGGGCCAAGAAACACGAGCAATGGACATTAGACCGGTGGAAATTTGTTCTTTGGTCTGAAGTCCAAATTTGAGATTTCTGGTTCCAACCGCCGTGTCTTTGTGAGACGCGGTGTGGGTGAACGGATGATCTCCACATTTGTAGTTCCCACCGTAAAGCATGGAGGAGGAGGTGTTATGGTGTGGGGGTGCTTTGCTCGTGACACTGTCTGTGATTTATTTAGAATTCAAGGCACACTTAACCAGCATGGCTACCACATCATTCTGCAATGATACGCCATCCCATCTGGTTTGGGCTTAATGGGACTATCATTTGTTTTTCAACAGGACAATGACCCAACACACCTCCAGGCTGTGTAAGGGCTATTTTACCAAGAAGGAGAGTGATGGAGTGCTGCATCAAATGACCTGGCCTCCACAATCCCCCGACCTCAACCCAATTGAGATGGTTTGGGATGAGTCGGACAGCAGAGTGAAGGAAAAGCAGCCAACAAGTGCTCAGCATATGTGGGAACTCCTTCAAGACTGTTGGAAAAGCATTCCAGGTGAAGCTGGTTGAGAGAATGCCAAGCGTGTGCAAAGCTGTCATCAAGGCAAGGGGTTGCTATTTGAAGAATCTGAAATATAAAATATATTTTGATTTGTTTAACACTATTTTGGTTACTACATGATTCCATATGTATTATTTCATAGTTTTGATGTCTTCACTATTCTTCTACAATGTAAAAAATAGTACAAATCAAGAAAAACCATTGAATGAGTAGGTGTGTCCAAACTTCTGACTGGTACTGTATATATTCTTAATTCCATCGCTTTACTTGGATTTGTGTGTATTGGGTATATGCTGTGAAATTGTTAGACATTACTTGTTAGATATTACTGCACTGTCGGAGCTAGAAACACAAGCATTTCGCTACACCCGCAATAACATCTGCTAAACACGTGTATGTGACCAATAAAATTGGATTTGATTTGAATGTGTCGCTGTTATTAAATCCTCTTTCTCTAGACTAGTTTAAATTAATAGTTGTAGTGTGTTTGTAATACAGATCAGGAGTCTGGCATTGCAGGTCTATTTTCTGCCTTTCCTGCAGTCAAATGACCTAGTGGCCTCATGGGTGGAATGTTATTCATATTTTTCATAATTACATAATTTTTTTAATGAAATGCTGAAAAACGTTTCTATGTCAAACAGTTTTGTTTAATTTGGGTCTTCTATGATGTGTATAAAGTGTAATATCGGGATGCCACCTCAAAATTGAATACATTTCAACTCTATATCTGACATGGTACAGGAGTCTTCTTTTTTGTAAGCCCATAACCATGTGTGTGAGGTGTATACTTTTGTTTCAAATTAGATTTGTTTAAGACTACGAAGAAACACTGTGTGACCCTTATTTAGCCCACTGCAGTAAAAGGATAATGTCTGCTATTGGAAATGCGTGTCAGTGAATGTGCATTGGTGCATGTTTGTATGTGTTATTGTGTAAGTTAGTGGTATTAGTGTGTTTGTGTGTGTGTGTGTGTATTTACTCATATGTGTGTGAGAGAGGTATCTCAAAAAGAGCTGGTGGTGGCACTTTTTATTGTCTTTTTAAATAAAGTCTGTTCCAGAAGGGTGAGTTTTGTCATAATTATGCTCACGGCTGTGAAGCGATCTAGTGGTTTGTAGTCCATGATTCACTAAACACCTCAGTCCTTGTAGTGAAGAAAACGTTTACATTTCTTGAAATTGAATTCTTGCATGAGTCACACTTTCTTCTGTGGTATTGAGTTTTTTTCTTTAACAATTATTTAGCACTAACACTTATTTTAAATGTGGATCTACCATTCTACCTCAAAGCACCAGGAAACATTACATGGGGACAAGATTGTTTTTCCTGAACCGGACAAACTCCTGGCCCCGCCCCTAATGACTAACTAGTGTGCAACAACAGAACAGGACTTGGGTAGAGCCCAGATGATTAATTAGTTTGCACAGGCAGCAACAACAGAAACTTGGGGAGAGCCCAGATGATGAACTAGTGTGCCCAGACAGCAACAACAGGACAAGGGTAGAGCCCAGATGATGAACTAGGGTGCCCAGACAGCAGGCAGCAAAATAAACTTGGGTAGAGCCCAGATGCATGAGACTAGAAGACCATAGAGCTGCTGTGTTCAAGCTTCTCCTTGGGGTCAGACCCACCCAATCCCAGATCTATCCAACCCCAGTGATCAACTCTAACCACCACATGGCTGCTGCTGTGAAACACTGTTTTAATTGAATGTTTTAAAAAGGATCAGGGATGAGAAAGCGTTAAGATCAACACATTGTTTAAAGGCATTGATTCATGTTTCATGGAAACCTTCCCATATTGTAATACTAACATTTTAATCAAGGCTGGAGCCTGTTGCTTTCATTAATCCCCTTCGCAAACAGGAGAAAATTAATCTCTGCATGAATGATTGATGAATAGATCAGCGAATGCAAATGTGGATTAGCGTCTGTGTTCTCCACCCAATAATTACATCCATCAAATGTAAGGTTGTTTAAATCAACATTGTTCCAATTGCACCCAAATTATTCACTCTAATTAAGTACGATTGTTTACTTTAATCAAGACTACAAAACAATTATATTTTTATCTTTGCATCATTATATTCTCAAATAGGAAGTTAGTAATTCAATGAATGATTAAAACAGATTTTGTGGCGTGGTGCAGCGGTCTAAGGCACTGCATCGCAGTGTTGCGGCATCGCTGCAGCCTGGGGTTCGATCCCAGGCTGTGTCATTACCGGCCGCGAGTCCCATAGGGTGGCACACAATTGGCCCAGCGTCATCCGGGTTTGGCCAGGGGTGCCTCGCCTGCAGACTGACTTCGGTCGTCGGTTGAACGGTGGTTCCTCTGACACATTGGTGCAGCTGGCTTCTGGGTTAAGTGAGTGGGTGTTAAGAAGTGCGGTTTGGCAGGTCATGTTTTGGAGGACACATGACTCGACCTTCACCTCTCACGAGCCCGTTGGGGAGTTGCAGCGATGAGACAAGATCGTAATCACGAAAACGGGTAAAAATTACCAAAAAATATAATATAAATAAATAACAGATTTCAATACAGTTACCCAGAGAGAGAAGGTGCATGGTAAAGTTAGTTCAGCTGTGGAAAATGGGAGGAAGGTTAAATTGCTTTGTAACAGGATTGGAGGGAATCGACAGCTTGTAGATTTGTTTTAGGTTTTTTTTGTGTGTGTGATGGAGGACATCCCATGTCGATGACTGTCATGCATATTTTTCAACCAGTTTTCACACAAAATTGCTTTGTAACAGGATTGGAGGGAATCGACAGCTTGTAGATAATTTTGGGGGGACCTGTGTGATGGAAGACATCATACGCAGATGACTGTCATGCATATTTTACATCCAGTTTTCACACACAATATTTTTCACACACAATGGAGTCAATGCCAGACAACACAAATCTGTTTTCGCATGTTTTTTCCTCCCCACTCTCTCTCTCACTTTGAATTTGACTATCTACAGTTGCTCAATTTGCATTTGTTTAATTGCCTTGCTCACTCTTTCTCCCCTTCTCTGTGTTGCGCTTTTATACACAGTTGTTGAATGAGCTGTTTAATTGTTGAGTGAGTAGCGAATTCCCTCGTCTATTGTCATCTCTTGAAAGGTATCAGTATATACAGCTGTTTGATTTTGACTTTGGTTGATTATCTCTCTCTCTCTCTCTCTCTCTCATCTATCTATTTTATACATACAGACAACAGTGTACAGTTTCATGTTGAGTAAAGCCATGCTGTACTAAACCAACCTGTTATCTGTATTAGAAATCCAGCATCCGTGTACCTGCATTAGCAAAGTGTAAACAATGGTTGGAATTGGGGTGTAGAGGAAGTTGGACTGATGTCAAAGTTGGTTGGGCTTTCCATCGTCATGTGTCCAACTGTTTATTGCCGCACACAGGAAACAATATTGTACCTGTGGTTTTCCTCCCAATCCATCAGGTCCTTCACTTCTTTTCCACTGTGTTCTCCTCCAGCCCACATGAATCCCTAAAGGACGACCCAGGTTTTTAATAAGTAGTACGTTTCAATGAAGAGTCACTGTCTATCTTGACAGATAAACAAATAAAGATATATACACTTATTTAAATAAATTCCATAATTTAAAATATGAACTGCATAATATATAAAACCAGAGAATACATATATAACATTTTAGGGCCAGGCAACTTTAGCGTGTCCCGGCACCATCTCCAAGTTGATCTGAATGTTGTCGATCTCCGAGGTCCTTTTTCCGTGCATGGTGGCTCGCAGGGACTTCTTATGACAGGCTTCCTGCTTTTTCTGCTGCCGCCTCTGCTTCCGTGTCTGTTTCTGCATCAATGGCTGCAGCTGCAGCCGGGGCTCTGTTGAGAGCTGATGCTGAGGTGTGTTAACGTTGGCTGAGGAGCCGGGGATGTCGGTGCCGCCATGGCAACCTCTGGGGTAGTGTCTGAAGCACTCAAAGGCATCACTGCACTTCTCGCAGGCCCTGCTGCAACCTCTGGACCCGGCGAGAGCTTGGCAGGCGGACGAGTTGGGGGAACAGGACTGGCCGTGGCCCAGTCGTCTGCGGAGCGATTGGAGGCTGACCCGGACTACGGAGTGGGAGTGGCACTTCCCCACAGCGCCCTGGGAGCAGGAGCACAGGCAGACCTTCAGAAAGGCCCTGCGAAGGCTCACCAAGTCCCGGTACATCACCCTGCGGAAGTTGGGCCTCAGCAGCAGGCAGATGATGGGGTTGTAGATGGTGGAGGACTTGGCAAACATGGCGGGCACGGCGAACGCCAAAGGTGGGATGTTCTCCATGTGTCCGAACGCTGCCCACATCGACACCACGGCATAAGGGCTCCACGCTGCGAAGAAACCGATACAGACAGCAACACTAAGCTGGAGAAGAAGAAAAAATGGAAAAGAGAGAGAGAGAGAGAGAGAGAGAGAGAGAGAGAAATGTTAACAGTTTAACAAGATCTATTGTCAGATTGCACTCTGCACTCCATACACAACTGACTGACTCTCGAGGATTAAATGATTGAAACAGGCCATTGAGATTATTTTAACGCCAAGGTTTAAAGAAAAGGACATCAGAGCCTATCTGACTTCCATTGATTGGATGGAGAGAGTAAAATATTATATAAGTGAAGCTTTCTCGTATGGATCACGGCATGGTCGCGGGAAGATGTTTTGGGGTGGCTGTTCTGTCTGGCATTTAGTTGTTGACAGCAGGTAGACACCTTGTTTATATTGGAGAAGGCAACATATTTAAGTAGCGAAGCATTTAAGTTGATCATGTTGTGAGATGGAAGTTGTTTTCGGTTGGTGGTGAGTAAACTTGCCCAACAAAAATATAGGATATATTTGTTGTCTTAAGGGGAAGGTGTTGCAGGTTTTGGTTTTTCCATTTATGTTTTAGGGTTGGACTTTAGCACGTATAGCTCGTTAGCACGTAGGGAGCACAGATCGGTGTCACCTCGTTAGTCAGTATGTGTTACACCTGTGTTGGTTGCCATCTAATTAGTGGGAAGGCGTTTCACCTGACCTGGCCCAGGTGCTATTTAAGAGTGGCTGGCCAAGTGCTCCAGTTATCTTGAGAGATGTGGAGGGTCAATACCTTTAGCTGGCTATTCCTATTTGATTTCTAGAAAAACGTTCCTTTGTCTGATTTTGTTTTGCTCCACCTTTTTGGTTTTCTTCCTGTCTTTAATTTTGGTGTAGGTTTTTCTTTTGTTTGCCTCTTCTTAGGCAAATTTAGTGGGTGCTCATGGTGGGTATCTTTTAGGTTCCAGTTGTTGTTGCTAGTTAAATTTCAGTGGACACCCCCATTTTGTGTCTTTCTGAACCCCTCCTAAAACTTCCCCTAATTCCCCTTTTCTGTTTGAGCAACATTTTTGGTTTTCTTGCTGGGGAACGTAACAAAATGGCCACCCTACTTCCCGCAGCTATGGATCACGGGCGAAGCTCATAGCAAGGATGGCTTTGGCTGATGACCACTAAGCAGCGATTGCAGCAGGCACCTGACTCCACATCCATCATAATGTATTCCTGTATAACTGTAGCCAATTTCCTCTGAGAACCTCCATCACTAGGGGATCTATTGAAGTTACTTCCAATCTCAGGGAGAGCGAGAGAAACAGAGATCAAAAGCTTTATTTATACAGCACAATTCAGACATGCAATGCAACACAATGTGCTTCACAGGAAAAAACTAATAAAAACAATTAAAATAAAAACTGAACTATTTACTACACAACAAACATAAGATTTAAAAAAAAAGAATAACAATAAAAACTGAACGACTAAGGAAAAGCAAAGCTTAAAAGGTGTGTTTTAAGATCTCTTTTAAAAATGTCCACAGTTTCGGCCCCCCTCAGGTTATTTGGCAGGCTATTCCAGAGGCTGGGGGCATAGTAACTAAAGGCTGCTGCTCCATGCCTCTTGGTCCTAGGCTTTAGGATAGTTAAAAGGCCAGTGCCAGAGGACCTGAGGGACCTACTTGGTACATACAGTGCATTTGGAAAGTATTCAGACCCCTTGTCTTTTTCCACATTTTGTTACAGCCTTATTCTAAAATATATATATTTTTTAATTTCCCTCATCAATCTACACACAATACCCCATAATGACAAAGCGAAAACAGGTTTATAGAAATGTTTGCAAATGTATTAAATATATATATATATATACCTTATTTACATAAGTATTCAGACCCTTTGCTATTTCACTCGAAATTGAGCTCAGATGCATCCTGTTTCCATTGATAATTCTTGAGATGTTTCCACAACTTGGAGTCCACCTGTGGTAAATTCAATTGATTGGACATGATTTGGAAAGGCACACGCCTGTCTATATAAGGTCACACAGTTGACAGTGCATGTCAGAACAAAAACCAAGCCATGAGGTCAAAGGATTTGTCCGTAGAGCTCCGAGACAGGATTGTGTCGAGGCACAGATCTGTGGAAGGGTACCAAAACATTTCTGCTGCATTGAAGATCCCCAAGAACACAGTGGCCTCCATCATTCTTAAATGGAAGAAGTTTGGAACCACCAAGACTCTTCCTAGAGCTGGCCGCCCGGCCAAACAGAGCAATCGGGGGAGAAGGGCCTTGGTCAGGGAGGTGACCTAGAACCCGATGGTCACTCTTACAGCACTCCAGAGTTCCTCTGTGGAGATGGGAGAACCTTCCAGAAGAACAACAATCTCTGCAGCACTCCACCAATCAGGCCTTTATGGTAGAGTGGCCAGACGGAAGCCACTCCTCAGTAAAAGGCACATGACAGCCCTTTTTGGAGTTTGCCAAAAGGACTCTCAGACCAAGAGAAACAAGATTCTCTGGTCTGATGAAACCAAGATTGAACTCTTTGGCCTGAATGCCAAGCGTCACGTCTGGAGGAAACCTGGCACCATCCCTAAGGTGAAGCATGGTGGTGGCAGCATCATGCTGTGGGGATGTTTTTCAGCGGGAGGGACTGGGAGATTAGTCAGGATCGAGGCAAAGATGAACGGAGCAAAGTACAGCAAGATCTTGATGAAAACCTGCACCAGAGTGCTCAGGACCTCAGACTGGGGCGAAGGTTCACCTTCCAACAGGACAACAACCCTAAGCACACAGCCAAGACAATGCAGGAGTGGCTTCGGGACATGTCTCTGAATGTCCTTGAGTGGCCCAGCCAGAGCCCGGACTTGAACCCAATCGAACATCTCTAGAGAGATCTGAAAATAGCTGTGCAGCGATGCTCCCCATCCAACCTGACAGAGCATGTGAGGATCTGCAGAGAACAGTGGGAGAAACTCCCCAAATACAGGTATGCCAAGCTTGTAGTGTCATACCCAAGAAGACTCGAGGCTGCAATCGTTGCCAAAAAGTTATTCAACAATGTACTGAGTAAAGGGTTTGAATATGTAAAACTTGCAAAAATGTATAAAAACTAGGGGTGTAACGATTCGTTTTAACAACGATTCGATTTGTATCACGATTCGTGGTTGTCGATACGATTCAAGGACGATATTGGTTCATTTAGAACGATACGATCCGAAACGATTCAGTGACTTGAAATCGATTCAGTAACCTTTTAGCCAAAAATTCAACCAGTGTGACTGAAATAAATTCCTGGATACTGGACAGTGCAGGTGAAGTTTCCTAGATTCCTGTTTCTTGTAAGGACCGCAATGGTGGCTTGATAATTTCTCGCTCGTCGGCTTCTCCTCTGTCGTCCGCCATGCTATGTTTTGTTGTCTTTGCGCCTTTGCGCTGCTGCTGGTGCGGGGCGATGACGTCACGGATAGGCAGACTGAATCGAGTAATGTTTAAAGCCTTTATCATTAAAAGTGCTAAGAAAAAACATCCACATAAAGTCTGACGTGCTTAAATCCAATGGGTTATTTCCTAGTATCGATACAATCGATTTATTACATTTTAAAACGATGTTAGATTGATATATGTTGTCCAAAAGGCCAACTCGCCGAGCACAGATCGATGTAGTTGGATCATAGGAATATAAATCGATACATCGATGTAGTAGATGGATCGTTACACCCCTAATAAAAACCTGTTTTTGCTTTGTCATTATGGGGTATTGTGTGTAGATTGATGAGTAAAAAAAACTATTTAATCAATTTTAGAATAAGGCTGTAACGTAACAAAATGTGGGAAAAGTAAAGGGGTCTGAATACTTTCCGAATGTACTGTAACTTAAAAGCATGTCAGACATGTATTGGGATGCACAATCGTGGATTCATTTAAAAACCAATAGGAGAATCTTAAAATGTATTATAAAACTCACAGGCAGCCAGTGCAGAGACCTTAAAACCGGTGTAATGTGTGCTCTCCATCTTGTCTTGGTCAGTACCCTTGCTGCAGCATTCTGTATGTTTTGCAGTTGACCAATAGCTTTCTTGGGTAGACCAGCCAGGAGAGCATTACAGTAGTCAAGCCTGCTTGTAATAAAGCATGGATAGGTTTCTCTGTATCAGCCTGAGAGAGAAACGTCCGCACCTTGGCAATGTTCCTCAGGTGGTAAAAAGCTATTTTAGTCACATTCTTAATGTGTGAATCGAAATTGAGTTCCGAATCTAAAATAACTCCTAGGTTTTTTACCTGGTGTTTTATCTTTATTGCCCGTGAATTAAAATGTGCGGCCAGATTCACTCTCTGTGCTTTGGCTCCAACAATATGTACCTCGGTCTTGTCTTGATTTAGCTGGAGGAAGTTGTGAGCCATCCAAGTATTTAAATCATGAATACAGTCTAATAATTTATCTGTGGAGCTAAAATCCTCTGGTGACACAGAAATGTAAAGTTGTGTATCGTCTGCGTAGCAGTGAAAATAAATGCTGTGTTTTCTGAACAGTACCAAAAATCAAACCTTGTGGAACGCCCCATGCGATATGTATTTTCTATGAGTTATTTTCACCAAGTGTGACAAAAAACTCCCAACAGGCCAACCCACCTCTCCAGTCTGTCCAGAAGGACATCATGGTCAACAGTGTCGAATGCAGCACTTAAATCCAAGAGTACAAGGACAGAGAGCTGTTTGGCATCTGTGTTGGCTCTAAGATCATTTGCCACTTTAAGGCTGTCTCTGTGCTGGGCCCGAAAACCATATTGGAATTTTTCCAAAATACAGTTGGCATTTAAATATAATTTAGCTGTTTGAAAACCAATTTCTCCTGAATTTTGCTTAAGAATGGAAGGCTGGCTGAAAATGGCTAAGAATCTAGATTACGAGAGAGCGAGAGAGCGAGAGAGCGAAATAATCATTATTGTTAGCCATTTTCTGCAGTATTAATGAGGGGAAGTCTTGAAAGAGTACTGACTGAGCATCCTGTTCATGACATTAATCCAGACAGGACTGGACAGCATACATCCATAAACATGCATTCCTATTATCCTATTCCCTTTCCAACTACAAACCCCCTATTACAGTATGTGAAGTGGCCCTAGTTGTGACTATATAATACACAATTGAATGACTTCCCCAAAATGTATCAACCAATCAAATGTATTTCTGCCTTTTTAAAGCAAGTTGTCATAGCATGCTTTACAATACAGTACCGCTGTGAGACTACACAGTGCTCACCTTCACAATAACAGTCTGGATGTTGCTCATCTTGGTCTGACGGGCCTCGTGATGCTCCATCGCCTTATGGGAGGCTCGGACCGTCATCAGGATGCCCGTGTAGGACACCACGATGACACAGCAGGGCACGATGTAGCACAAGACAAAGAGCACCGCAGTGTAGGAGCGGGCCACGGGATGCAGGTTGGACAGGCGCCAGTCGATGCAGCAGGCTGTGCCGTAGGGCTCCGGACCATACTCACCCCAGTGGGCCAGAGGGGAGCAGGCAAACATCAGGGCCCAAGCCCACGCACAGGCTATCAGTAGACGGCCATGGACGGGGTTGAACTGGTTACCTGGATGGATGGATGGATGGATGGATGGATGGATGGATGGATGGATGGATGGATGGATGGATGGAGATATGAGTGGGGAGATGGATGGATGAATTGATGGATAAATGGATGGATGGGATATGGATGGATGGGTGGGGAGATGGATGGATGAATCAATAAATGGATGGATGGATGGATGGATGGATGGATGGATGGATGGATGGATGGGGATGGATGGATGGATGGGGATGGATGGATGGATGGATGGATGGGTGGATGGATGGATGGATGGATGGAGAGATATATTGATGAATGGATGGGGACATGGATGAATGGACGGATGGATGGGGACATGGATGGATGGGGAGATGGATGGGGAGATGTATTGATGAATGGATGGGGACATGGATGAATGGACAGATGGATGGGGACATGAATGAATGGACGGATGGATGGGGAGATGTATTGATAGGGAGGTGGATGGATGGAGAGATGTATTGATAAGGAGATGGATGGATGGATGGATGGATGGATGGATGGATGGATGGATGGGGAGGTGGACAGTCAGTTTAAAGCTGCAATATGTAACTTTGTTGGCGACCCGACCAAATTCACATAGGAATGTGAGTTATAGATCTGTCATTCGCATAGAAAAGATGTCTAAGAAGCGGTAGATATGTTCTATGTGTGCTATTTCTATGCTTTCCATTTCGTTTTAGCGGCTTTTACTTTCGATTTTGTACACCAGCTTCAAACAGCTGAAAATATAATATTTTTGATTATTGAAAATATATTTCACAGCGCTTTAGATGGTGCAATGATTTTCATAAACTGAAATTAGGCAAACTATTAGAATTTTAGCAACCAGGAAATGGCAGCATGATTTCTGCATATTGCACCTTTAATAGGTAGCATGGTCATCATTAGAGATTCTGATAAGTACATGGGTGGATTTGCGGAGGAACATGATGTTTCTCAAAGTGAAAATGTCATAGGGTAATATTTTGACAGGTACACATTTTTCTGAACTGCTTTGAATGCTCCGAGGGGGATTTTCCCAATTTCCAGCCCTGGATATGTATGCATGGAATTGACTAAATATATGGATAACTAACCCATTATATTACATACTAGGCCACATTTCAAAAGAACAGCAATGAATAAATGAATAACTAATTTGTTCCATTTGGTTAAGCGTGTCTCGGGCTAAAACATCCAAGCATCCATGCAGATGCAATTTGTCAGTACAATTGCCAAAAAATGATTCTCAGAGTTTAACGCTGAATATAAAGCTGGATAGCACCGTTTTTTGGCAACATCACAAGCCACACTAATTGAGTGTCGGCTAGTCGCAAGTGGACTCGTCAGCCATCAAAGCAGTGGCTGATGAGTGCTGGGTCATTGCGGAATTACCTAGTTCTTTACATTTTTTGCCATCAATGGTCAACCACTTATTTTCGAATGTACTATTCCTATGTCAATTCCATGGGCAAGACTAGGGCCAGGCTCTTTGATGACTTACCGTAGAGAGGATAACATACTTTCACAAAACACACCATGCTCAACAGGGTGAGAGTTGTCAGACTGCAGACTCCAAACAACATGCCGCAGAACGCGTAGATCAAACACGCTGTTTTCCCAAACAGCCACCTGAGGGAAGGGGGGGAAGGGAAAAAAGAGAGGAAGAAAATTAGGGAGAGTGAGAAAGAGAGAGAGACACAGAAAGAAAGAGAAAGTTGGAGAGAGAACCCACTGGTTGTTTGTTTAGCACTCCATGGATAGTATAAAGCAGCACCTGTAACCACACGACCAAACCAGATCGCTAATTGAACCTTGACAATTGGAAAGGAGAGTTTTTAATACAAACCCAACACATTCACTAATCTGCCTTAAAACAGTGTGGTGGCCAGCGTTAGACATCAAAGCATTCAGTCAAAACACTACTGTTTCCTCCATCTCTGTCTGTGAAGTACAGGAGCCAGTCACATGTGATGTGAAGCCTTTCCTTTTCTCTCCAATAGGCTGTTACTGTGGCTTGGCAGTACTGTATGGGGTCTTTCATGCTATTATGTTGAACCAAACTCCACTGTGCTGGCCTGGACATTTCCTTTTCACTTGATCCTTTCTAGGAGGTTCCAGTGGATGAGTAACCAGGTCAGCACAGTTCAGCTTGGCTGGACTCTGTAGTGTAAAATTGCATACAGTACCAGACCTGGGTACGTCCTTATTTCACTGTTATTTGTACAGTACCTGTGGTAGATATTTGCTAGGCTTGGCTTTGTAGTGTAAACAGGTGTGTACAGTACCTGTGGTAGATGCTGGAAGTGATGGCCATGGGGTAGAGGGACAGGGTCAGACCCATGTCGCTGATGGCCTGGTTGATTATGAAGAACTCAGCAGGTTTGAGCAGGTGCTTCTTCTTGTAGGAGACGTAGAGAAGCGTGCTGTTGCCAAACAGAGAGCACATGCCTGCACACCAGAGACAGAGACACAACTCAGTAGCCTGCTGTGAGAACTACCACAGAGACAGACACAGCTGAGGACAACAACTGGCGGCTTATACATATGTAGAAATAAAAATACTAGAACAGAAATGGATGTACTGTCAAATGGCTGTCGTCTGGGGGTATGTCCATTTTAGTCATTCTATTTACATGCCTAAAAACAGTACAGTTAAGGAACATGTTTGAAATAAATGACGTCCCAATGGGGCTGTTTTCAGAAGGAATATTAAGTGAAGTGTTCAGAGACACTGAATATGTTATATCATTTCCCCAGGCTTGTCCTATCAATGAAGTGTAATTACACGTTGTTGTAACAAATGAACAAGGACACTCCATAAATCTAGAAGTACAAAGAAAGGACATATTTTAGATTTTGGAATTATACCTCTCATTCAACCATTCTATAGAAATTCACTTCATTGATTTTCCAATCTTCTTATCTAAATCAATCGTCATTAGATACCCTAATTATTTTGTCATCAATATGGGAGAAGCAACAAAGAGATGAAAACGGCTGAAATATCAATATCAGTAGCACAATATGAACATCCTTGATCACCAATGTCTCTCTTACAGCCTGCTAAATTCTCCAAATTAATTTATAATCACACAAAGGAAATAGTATTTGCATCATTAATATATCGGCCAGTAGATATTACAAAACATTTAACTTCATAAGAACATTTCCTTTTAACTGGAAGTCTATGTAATATCAAAGCTGCCACATTATATCCCTTTACAGCATAGCTTTGAATTCAATGTATCTGGTCTTATTGTAACACCTGCCCTATCCCAGCCTAATGTCAGACAGCTTGAGAAGGGTCTTACTTCTAGTTACAATATATTCATTGAGAAGCACTGCCTTTGAACAATGTAAAGATGTCCATGACCTTGAATGTACATGACCCTCTGACCCATCTGAATGTATGTATGTAACTGTAGGAAGTAATCGGAAAAAATGTAAATCATGAAATGTGTAATAACTTCAAATATGACATATGGATGGATGGGGAGATGAGTGATATATATATATATATATATATATATATATATATATATATATATATATATATGTATATACACTACCGTTCAAAAGTTTGGGGTCACTTAGAAATGTCCTTGTTTTCAAAAGAAAAGCAACTTTTTTGTCCATTAAAATAACATCAAATTGATCAGAAATACAGTGTAGACATTGTTAATGTTGTAAATGGCTATTGTAGCTGGAAACGGCTGATTTTTTATGGAATATCTACATAGGCGTACAGAGGCCCATTATCAGCAACCATCAGTCCTGTGTTCCAATGGCATGTTGTGTTTGCTAATCCAAGTTTATCATTTTAAAAGGCTAATTGATTATTAGAAAACCCTTTTGCATTTATGTTAGCACAGCTGAAAACTGTTGTGCTGATTAAATAAGCAATAACACTTGACTTCTTGAGACTAGTTGAGTATCTGGAGCGTCAGCAATTGTGGGTTCGATTACAGGCTCAAAATGGCCAGAAACAAATAACTTTCTTCTGAAACTCGTCAGTCTATTCTTGTTCTGAGAAACTGAAGATCTCGTACAACGCTGTGTACTACTCCCTTCACAGAACAGCGCAAACTGGCTCTAACCAGAATATAAAGAGGAGTGGGAGGACCCGGTGCACAACTGAGCAAGAGGACAAATACATTAGAGTGTCTAGTTTGAGAAACAGACGCCTCACAGGTCCTCAACTGGCAGCTTCATTAAATAGTACCCGCAAAACACCAGTCTCAACGTCAACAGTGAAGAGGCGACTCCGGGATGCTGACCTTCTAGGCAGAGTTGCAAAGAAAAAGACATATCTCAGACTGGCCAATAAAAATAAAATATTAAGATGGGCAAAAGAACACAGACACTGGACAGAGGAAGATTGGAAAAAAGTGTTATGGACAGACGAATCAAAGATTGAGGTGTTCGGATCACAAAGAAGAACATTTGTGAGACGCAGACCAAATGAAAAGATGCTGTAGGAGTGCTTGATACCATCTGTCAAGCATGGTGGAGGCAATGTGATAGTCTGGGGGTGCTTTGGTGGTGATAAAGTGGGAGATTTGTACAGGGTAAAAGGGATCTTGAAGAAGGAAGGCTATCACTCCATTTTGCAACGCCATGCCATACCCTGTGGACAGCACTTGATTGGAGCCAATTTCCTCCTACAACAGGACAATGACCCAAAGCACAGCTCCAAACTATGCAACAACTATTTCGGGAAGAAGCAGTCAGCTGGTATTCTGTCTGTAATGGAGTGGCCAGCACAGTCATCAGATCTCAACCCTATTGAGATGTTGTGGGAGCAGCTTGACCGTATGGTACGTAAGAAGTGCCCATCAAGCCAATCCAACTTGTGGGAGGTGCTTCAGGAAGCATGGGGTGAAATCTCTTCGGATTACCTCAACAAATTGTCAACTAGAATGCCAAAGGTCTGCAAGGCTGTAATTGCTGCAAATGGAGGATTATTTGACTAAAGCAAAGTTTGAAGGACAATTATTATTTCAATGAAAAAATCATGCATTTTGCTATATTTCCTATTCAAACTCATTTCATGGAAAACAATGACATTTCTAAGTGACCCCAAACAAAAAATAATCATTTCACTTCACCAATTTTGGCTATTTTGTGTATGTCCATTACATTAAATTCAAATAAAAATCCATTTAAATTACATGTTGTAATGCAACAAAATAGGAAAAATGCCAAAGGGGATGAATACTTTTGCAAGGCACTGTGTGTATATATATATATATATATAAATATCTCAATACATCCATAAGAGTGGAGGGAAATCTTCAAGAGACCCTTAGCATTTTATTCCCCACCACTTTGAACATACAGAACTCTTCACTGTGCATTTCAGGCTTGTTCTGCGTTTAATCAAAAAGGTGCACGGGGGGGGGGGTGGGGGGTGTAGTGTGCCTGTTTTTATCTCTCTTCAGAGCTTGCTGCTATAGCCTGTATTAGATATAAAACGTTTCCAGTAATACTTTTAAGATCAAAGACTTTGGTGGAAAGCTAGCTAGTTAATCTGGGTAAGATTTCTACAGCATTGTGGCCTTGGCGCACAGCTTAACCATTGACAGAACTAACGCCCCACGGCCTCCTCTCTTGTCAGAACCCAAGATGAGACGTGTGTCTGTGTGTCTATGGAAATACAGATCCTCCCCCACCCTCCACACACACACACACATACACCCACTCCCAGTGTGTAGTCTGGCATCATGTTGAGTTGATGGACATGTCTCAGCTGAAGCAGAACAGTCCTCACAGCAGGAAGCTGACTGATAGAGTTGGTCATGTTACAGTACAGTAAGATGCTTCATCCTCTCCTTTCTGCCTACAGTACATTTTCATTTGAAGAAAAGCAGTGCGGCTCTGTTTTCCTTCATGTGGGTAACTGGGGGTGTTAGTGAATCATTTCTGAAGAGAGAGCTCACTTACCAAACACAGCGTACACTATGGCTACTGTTATGTCTGCCGCCACAGGTATGTTTGAATGGAATGCAATGTCGTCAATGCCCGCAAATGCCCCCATCTGAAATGGAAGAGAATAGAAAGAGATAGTTACATATGTGTACTGAACATGATCAATACCCTCTCTCTCTCGCCAATATGTGGAGTTGACTACATCAAAACAAGTTGGTTTAAAAAAAAAAAGTTTTATCTAGCAACTTCCATTCATCCTCCAAGTCGTGTGGTTGAGTGCCGCAAGGAAATACCTAGTTAAGCTGCAGCTGGCCCAGAACAGTGCGGCACGTCTTGCTCTTCATTGTAATCAGAGGGCTAATATAAATACTTTGTATGCCAATCTCTCTTGGCTAAGAGTTGAAGAGAGACTGACTGCATCACTTCTTCTTTTATAAGAAACAATGTGTTGAAAATGTCAAATTATTTGCATAGTCAACTTACACACAGCTCTGACACACACACACTTACCCTACCAGACGTGCCACCAGGGGTCTTTTCACAGTCCACAAATCCAGAACAAATTCAAGAAAGCGTACAGTATTATATAGAGCCATTATTGCATGGAACTCCCATTTCATATTGCTCAAATGAACAGCAAACCTGGTTTCAAAAAACAGATAAAGCAACACCTCATGGCAAAACGCCTCTCCCCTATTTGACCTAGATATTCTGTGTGCATGTATTGATATGTAGACTACGTGTGCCTTTTTTAAATTGATGTAGTTCTGTCCTTGAGCTGTTCTTGTCTATTAATGTTCTGTATTATGTCATGTTTTATGTTTTGTGTGGAACCCAGGAAGAGTAGCTGCTGCTTTCACAACAGCTAATGGGGATCCTAATAAAATACCAAATACCAAGAAAGGTTGAATACCTCTCACATGTCCAGTCTGTTTTCACCTTGGTGTACTGAGGTTTACTGACAAGTTTACCTTTTTTTCCTCAGTGTTGCATGTCAGCAAATCAGAGAACATCCATGACATCCATGACCATACATCACCAAAGTGTTGTATGAGTTGGATTTTTAACAGTAAGATGAGTAAGAACTATTTTTTGTTGCAAGGCATTGAGAGGGGGATAGGAGATGAGAGTACGTTTGATTCTCTCTCTGTGTGTGTGTGTGTGTGTGTGTGTGAAACCATATTTTCACATGTATACATATTTAGAGTTCACATGTTAACACCACCACATAGTTCTGCTGTATGAAGGTCACTGCCTGTTAAAGGGCAATCCTTAGTTGCTACATCCATTTTTAGATTCATCAATTAATTATATGTACCCATTGATTCTTGAAGAATATAACATATACAGTGAGGGAAAAAAGTATTTGATCCACTGCTGATTTTGTACGTTTGCCCACTGACAAAGACATGATCAGTCTATAATTTTAATGTAGGTTTATTTGAACAGTGAGAGACAGAATAACAACAAAAAAATCCTGAAAAACGCATGTCAAAAATGTTATAAATTGATTTGCATTTTAATGAGGGAAATAAGTATTTGACCCCTCTGCAAAACATTACTTAGTACTTGGTGACAAAACCCTTGTTGGCAATCACAGAGGTTAGACGTTTCTTGTAGTTGGCCATCAGGTTTGCACACATCTCAGGAGGGATTTTGTCCCACTCCTCTTTGCAGATATTCTCCAAGTCATTAAGGTTTCGAGACTGACGTTTGGCAACTCGAACCTTCAGCTCCCTCCACAGATTTTCTATGGGATTAAGGTCTGGAGACTGGCTAGGCCACTCCAGGACCTTAATGTGCTTCTTCTTGAGCCACTCCTTTGTTGCCTTGGCCGTGTGTTTTGGGTCATTGTCATGCTGGAATACCCATCCACGACCCATTTTCAATGCCCTGGCTGAGGGAAGGAGGTTCTCACCCAAGATTTGATGTTACATTGCCCCGTCCATCGTCCCTTTGATGCGGTGAAGTTGTCCTGTCCCCTTAGCAGAAAAACACCCCCAAAGCATAATGTTTCCACCTCCATGTTTGACGGTGGGGATGGTGTTCTTGGGGGTCATAGGCAGCATTCCTCCTCCAAACACGGCGAGTTGAGTTGATGCCAAAGAGCTCCATTTTGGTCTCATCTGACCACAACACTTTCACCCAGTTCTCTTCTGAATCATTCAGATGTTCATTGGCAAACTTCAGACGGGCATGTATATGTGCTTTCTTGAGCAGAGGGACCTTGGGGGCGCTGCAGGATTTCAGTCCTTCACGGCGTAGTGTGTTACCAATTGTTTTCTTGGTGACTATGGTCCCAGCTGCCTTGAGATCATTGACAAGATCCTCCCATTTAGTTCTGGGCTGATTTCTCACCGTTCTCATGATCATTGCAACTCCATGAGGTGAGATCTTGCATGGAGCTCGAGGCCGAGGGAGATTGACAGTGCTTTTGTGTTTCTTCCTTTTATACAGGTAACAAGCTGAGATTAGGAGCACTCCCTTTAAGAGTGTGCTCCTAATCTCAGCTCATTACCTGTATAAAAGACACCTGGGAGCCAGAAATCTTTCTGATTGAGAGGGGGTCAAATACTTATTTCCCTCATTAAAATGCAAATCAATTTATAAAAAAATTTACATGCGTTTTTCTGGATTTTTGTTGTTGTTATTCTGTCTCTCACTGTTCACTGTTCAAATAAACCTACCATTAAAATTATAGACTGATCATTTCTTTGTCAGTGGGCAAACGTACAAAATCAGCAGGGGATCAAATACTTTTTTCCCTCACTGTAAATACCTCATGAATTTAGCTCAACTGTCTTACCCCATCAGAACCTAAAATATAAGCTTGTTTTACTCCAATGTTTTTTAAACAAAGTAAATGTAAACAAACACTGTATAGCCTAAAAACATGGTTAAAACTATATTTGTGATATCATGGATGGTCAGTCCTTGCATCCATAGCGTAGTCTATGGGTTTGAGAGTGTTTGCATTTCTCCAGCCCCGTCCCTCAGTTTTTTACCGAAACTGTAGCGGTGAGTACACTTTGTTAATGTTTCAATTGAGGATTGCCACTTTAAACACCTTTAATAGAGTAATAGTGTTATTATATGGTGCAATCATCTAGTCAGTGAGTTTCTTTGTTCCATCAATATCAACCAAAACTTCTGAAGTCGAGAACAAAATTCTTAGTATTGCAAAAGGAAACATAAAAGGAAATTATTTTGAAATGTGAGAACAAATTAATTGTAAATGGATGCAAAAAAAAAGTTATGTGAAAATTAAATAAATAATATGCCTCCCTCTTTTCTGCAATTTTCTGATCTTGGTTGTTACCCTGGCCTTTGCTTTCGCTTTCTTTTTTGAAGTTGCAAGTTTGGGCATGTTCATTCCAGCAACATAGCACCCTGCATCCCACTGCTGGTTTGCCTCTGAAGCTAAGCAGATCGGTCCCGGTCAGTACTTGGAAGGGAGACCATATATAGCTAGAGGTGGTGACAAATAAACGTGAGGGTAAAAAATGTCACATATGGGGAATAACATTTTTACTGCGAAAAACACTTTAAAAATGTACATGTTCACAGGTGTCTGAAAACCATGTCTGACTAATGTGAAAATTTCAACAACACATTTTTTTGGTTCACAGGTGTCCCGAAAACCATGTGTTTTTTGGTAAGGGACTGCAGGGCCATGTTAGCGCAGAGTCTGTTTTAGTGGATGTGGTCACACATTTTAACCAATGCATGGCACTGGGACCACTGGTGGTAGTATGAAACAGATTTCTGAATGGATATGGGCATTAAAAAAAACTCAAATCTTTATGCATGCATCATCTACTGTAGGCATGTAGTGTGTGTGTGTGTGAGCGCATTTGCGAGAGAGAGAGAGAGAGAGAGGTGGGTTGATGATGTTGACTTGTGACTTAAAGTAACCATCAACTCTCAGCCTATGTTGTTAGTTCAATGTTATACTCCCTAAGCGGACACATCAATCATTTTATGAGCTGCTTTTTTATTACAGTAAGAGGACATCAAATCTACAATGAAAATATAGCCTATAACTAATTACATAATAACTAAACTGTTACACAATAAAAGGTTGTATCTCAACTATCAGTCACAGGATAGGATCTTAAGTAGAGATCTGTTAGACACCTAATACACAAATGATGTCACCAGACTGCATAGTCACTGCATAGTCACTTTAACTCTACCCACATGTACATATTACTTCAACTATCTCAACTAGCCGGTGCCCCCACACATTGACTCTGCACCGGTACCCCCCTGTATATATAGCCTCCCTACTGTTATTTTATTTTACTTCAGCTCTTTTTTTCTCAACACTTTTTTTGTTGTTGTTTTATTTTTACTTTTTTTGTTAAAAATAAATGCACTGTTGGTTAAGGGCTGTAAGTAAGCATTTCACTGTAATGTCTGCACCTGTTGTATTCGGCGCATGTGACCAATAAAATGTGATTTGATTTGATTTGACACAGGGGTCACAGGGGTAAATTGCTTTGGGTTTCCTGGAAAGAAAACATATCCAACCAGAAATGACAAGGCAATATATCCTCTATTTAGAAGCCTAATCACATTAGTACAATACAAGACAATAATTAGACTAGACAAGAGTATTGTGTTCCAAAACCACTTGTATTGACTTCGACCTGTCTCGAGCTTTGCTTTAACCTGCCATTAAAACCGTTAAGGCCTAGATTCAATCAGAACAAGTGTTAACAGGCAATAGCTGACACCCCCATAGCTGATGTTTTGGTGATGTCGGATGCGGAACTGCATTGGAGGACCTTTCCAATCGGTGAGCAGCTGCTCTTGTGATTGTCATGAAGTCACACACGTCCCACTCGCGTTAGAAGTTCAGAACAAGAAAGTGTTGGTTATAGGCCCATAGAAATAATTACGCTGAAATTGAAAATCACTAAACGAAATAATTAGAATTTATATCAGCCTAATTGAGGTGTAGATTACACATCTCACATTTCAGTGTTCGAACTTGTAAACGAGGCTGCATGGGATTTATTAATAATAATGCAACCGCGCAGCCAATGACAATGTCCACTTAGGTATAATGCCGGGAGCAGCTTGTGGATTTGACAACTCTTAACT